AAGTTGCAAATTGGTCCTCCAGCTGTTCCTTATATGTACATTTAACTCTTATTGCTTCCTGTCCCATCTTTTTTGGAATGTGTAGCTCTCATGAAATCCAAAATGACCGAATATTTGGCATGACATTTCAAAATGTCTCACTTTCAAAATTTGATGTTATCTATATTCTATTGTGAATAAAAAATAAGTTTATGAGATTTGTAAATTATTCCATTCCTCTTTTACTCACAATTTTTTCTGCCATGCATCACGTGTGTAATCCTGGTTAATAATCCAACTTTGCGTTTGTCTTCTCAGAATTGCCTCAAACACCTCCTGCTAGGATGTTGAAGGCAGATGTCGATGCTGCGCGAGCTACAGGAGACCCAAAACCGTTTTTTGGGTGAAATGCTACGCCACATGCCAGCTCTGCCACCCACACATTTTTATATGCCCCAACATGTCTTGATTAGACTCTTGCGAAACACATCTGTGATGTTCCAGTCAGGCAAATAAACTTCTTCGTTCATCTCACAAATATTGTGCAAAACACAACAAACAGCAACAACATCAGACATAAGAGCAGTGTTGGCATCGTTGCAGCATCTTCTTGTGGAGCAATGATGGGGATTTAGCTACTGTCTATGGCACCAGCACTAGGGTTGGGTATCGAGAATCGAGTATCGATTGGAACCGGGACTAACTTTTCGTTTTTCCCGGAATCGTTCAAAAGTAAAAATTTCGATTCCTAGTTTCGATATTCACAGTCCGCCGAGCGGAAGAAGAAACCGCTGAACAACACCAACGAAGAAGCGTCTACCGGAAGTGTTGGCATAACCGCGCGAGTCGAACATGAGTAGCTTACGTCGGCGATCCAAAGTGTGGCTTCACTTTTTTAAAAATAACGAAATCTTGGCAAAATGCAAAATTTGTGACAAAAGGAGTATTTTTACAGAAGGAGTATTTCCTTCAGAAAGGCCGTTGGTTAGCAAGGTTAGCTAAACTTTTTTGACCCTGCCTCTTAAAAGAATCGGAATCGAGAATCGTTAGGAACCGGAATCGAAACAAGGAATCGGAATCAGAATCGTTCAAATTCAAACGATACCCAACCCTAACCAGCACACAAAGGATAACCCATTTAGCGAACCCAGTTAAAGTCATTTGAAGATCTTCTCCTTTGGGCAAGGAGATGAAATGTTTCAAAAGCTTTCTCTTAAATGTAGCAGTGACCAAAGAAGAACCATTGCGAACCAATGTACAAAAAGACAACTGATTGTACGGTTCTCACCAGGGGTAGCATACCACCACAAAACAATAGCCAATCTACAGCGTGGTTTAAGGGGCTTTCTCCAGTTAGTAGGCTTAAGTTGCTGAACAAACTCAAATGTGATCCGTGATATCCGTAAGTGCTGCCGCCACTGATCTTCGTTGAAGTTTTCGAGGACATTTGACCAAAACACAGCCATTTCAGGTCTTTGTACCATCCACAGTCTTCTCTTCGAATCACCAGTTGTATGAGCCATGAACAAAGAACTGTAGCTTTTAGCATCCAATGGCGTCTCCTTCCTTTACGTTGTTCCCCAGACGTAGATGTACATTTTGCTTCGTTTCGCTTGGACATTTAAAGGCGTGTACATACACGTGGAATCACGCGGTATCACTCGGACGTTAATGGCGTAGACATACACGCAGGTACACGCGGATAGATGAAAATGCGTATAGATAACACGCCACTTGACTTGAAAGTGGCGTGTACGTTTACGCAAAATTGATGGAATCGATGATGATTGCATTGAAATTCTGCAGCAGAGTGATGACGTCTCAGATCATTTTCTAGTCTCTTGTTTACTTCATTTAGCCAAGGCTGTAAAACAAACCTTTTACAAATATGGTAGAACTATCACTTTTACCACTAAAGATTGCTTTATAAATAATCTTCCTGATTAATTTCTACTCCTCGCCTTCCCAGCTAAAGTATCTTAGAAGAACTTGATGTTGCAAATTAAACCATTGACTCTTTTCTAGCGCTTAAATAATGGTGTTGTTGCATACAGAAAGACCTAAAAAACTGTTAGATCTGCTCATGACTGTATCATAGTACTGAGACTACTCTCATTAGAGTTACAAATGATTTGCTCTTGTCATCCGATCGTGGTTTTATTAGTGTTACTCGATCTTAGTGCTGCATTTGAGACCATTGACCACAACATTCTTTTAAATTGACTCAAAAATTATGTTGGCATTAGTGGTTTTGCACTAGCTTGATTTAAGTCATACTGATCTGTTATCAGTTTGCAGCAGTAAATGGAGAGATGTTTTATCGATCACAAGTTCAGTATGGTGTACCACAAGGCTCAGTACTAGGACCGCTGCTGTTTACTCTGTACATGCTGCCATTAGGAGATATCATCAGGAAACATGGAATAAGCTTTCACTGTAATGCTGATGATACCCAGTCGTGTATTTTTTTACGCCCTGACAAAACTTACACTGTAAAAAATATTTTCAAGATTTGTTATCACAACATATTTTCTTTTAAGGCAAATAAATTTTAAGGCTTACTTTTTTAATGTAGTAATCACAACATTTTTTCTTTTGTCAAATCAACTTAAATAATTTATTTAGTTCAGATAACATATAATTTTGAGTTTCTGATGGTTAAATTAATCTCCTTCATTGTATTAACTCACTTTTCCAGTTCAATGAACTTAAAATTTTAAGGCAACCAGGCTACTTACTTTTTTAAGTTAAACCATCAATATTTTTTTACAGTGTACCAATTCATAAAATTAACAGAATGCATAGCTGATATAAAAATTGGATGTCCAATAACTTCCTAATTAAAAAAAAAAAAAAAAAAAATCCAAACCAATCCTGATCTGAATTTTGTAATGTTGCCTCTGGCTTGCTTACTTGGGAACACTTAATATTCAACAACATTATTGATCTGATTGTCCTAGTGCTGTTGTATCAGAACTGAACTGAGCTGGACGATAACATAATTGTTTTGCAGAACTTGCTGAAAAGAACAATATAACTGCTTTATAGATTCAGTTAGCTAATTTAATAATTGAAGGTCTTTATAACGGATCTGAATCAACACTGAACCGACTTCAGCTGAACAACAGCCGAAATGCATTATTTTCCTGATATCACTATAAAGCTGCTTTGAAACCTGTATTGTGTAAAGCGCTGTATATAAATAAGGCTGACTTGACATGAGGTCATCCTGACATCAGGTCCGAGAACCGTACTCGGGCCGGCCATAATGAGGCAACTAGCAGCACACAAACCCTGTCCTGGCTCTGTAGAACTGGTTCAATGTAATACATGACTAAATTAAATCTGTTCATCGTATAAAGCGATTGCGTCTCTTAAAAAAACTTTTGAGTAAACTGCTCAATTCATATGGATTAGTTTTACGATCTCTTTATGAACTTTTAGAAGCATCAAAGTATCAGTTGTATAGATGTGTGGAGGGACAGAAATCTCTCAGATTTCATCAAAAAAATCTTCATTTGTGTTCCAAAGATGAACGAAAGAACTTACGAGTTTGGAACGACATAGGGCCGAGTAATTAATAACAGAATTTTCCTTTTTGGGTGAACATCTCTTTAACCATAACTTCATTTTAATGAGGAATAGATGTGACTTATCCCAACAACCTTGGATTTTAGAATAAATAAATCTGATATTTATTTTTTTTAAAAGTTGGAGATAAATTTTTGACAATTAGTTGAATAATAACAGAAAAAAATCAAAAAGTCATTAAAAGACAGACACAAATATAAAAAAGATTTATTTACATTCTTGTCTATGAACTACAAACAGGCCTATAGCTTTAATTGAAGTATGTCATGCGCAATAGATTATGAATTCAGGGTAGCAGAATGTTACAGTGTTACAGTTTATACATGTTACATGTTACAGTCTCTCTCTCTGTCTCTCACTCTCTCTCTTTATAAATCATTTTATATAACTTCGAATGTATTCATTTGAACCCTTTACCTGTCACCCCCTTTTTGATAAATGACATTAAAATGCACTATACAAACTTAAATGGTTGTAATTGAAGAATGCTTTGGAATATAGACCTAAGTCTTTGGTGGTCTTGTTTTAAAGAAAACAATCAGAAGATTATTACTGAAGTGAAAGCACTTCAAAAAATTAAAGTATGAAAAAGTTATGGAAGTTATAATTTACAGTAAATCAAATATACTTTATTAATATTTTTTAATATAAAATAAATATCTTACAAAATATTTTTTTATAAAATTACTATAAAATGAAAGCTATATATCTAACCAAGTTGTGTTCCAAATTTAAAGTTGATATCACAAAAAGATGAGATTTTGTTTAGGCGTAGTACCAAAAATAGCCACCGGGTGCCATTGAATTCCATTGAATTTAATTGTATGCATTCTGCCTTAACAAATTAATACATTTCTATTCAAATATCACTTCTGTTACTAAATATGGAACCTTGAGTTTTAGACCTTTCTGACAATATGTGTTTTTGTCAAGATGGTTTTTATAATAAATTATGAAAGATGATACCCAAAAGGGGAGGGGCCTAATAAAAAACTACCGTTTTTATGGTAACGCAATGTCCAATTTCAAAACGGTTTTCACAGGATGAATTCTGAGTTCGTAAGCTTTCAAATGATACCTAATTCATGATAACTACTAAAATATGTGATATAATAATAAAAAATATATTTATACATAATAAATTATACTTTTTAGAGGACTTCTTACCTTACTTTTTAAAATATAATTGTATCTTTTTATTGACAAATACTAATTATATTTTATTATGAACTTTTAGCACTAAAAACCAAAGTTTCAATTATTAAAAGTGTGCGCGTCGACTTTTTGTGACAAAAGTCAGAAACTCCTCTAATGTCGTCGATTTTTTTTGTCATAAATTCATATATTACTGTTCATTCATAATTTGTAAGAAAAAAACAGCACTAAAATATCTATTTAGGAGTCTTAGACTTTTCCAACAATATATAGTTTGTCATGACTAGATTAGGATTTAATAGTAATATAGTGAAGTAAATTTAGGAATTTAGCCTGTAAAATTCCTATCTATAAAATTCATTTTTTTCCAGTTGTCGAGAGCGTGGTTAATTCAATATTATTCCTCTGGGTGTCCTGACCTCTTCTTCTATTATCTGTGAATTAAAGCACACCATGATATCAAACCTCTCATATAGTATCATGTGATAAGAAGACTGATTAACTCTTGAATATATTTCAGATGGTGTATATGTGACTTTCTGATCACAGTCATCAATTATTGTGAATCAGCAGATGTTGAAGAGTCTCAAACCTCACCAGCTCTCCTTTCACAGACGATCCATAGGAGAATAACAGTAGGAGGAGTAAATACTGCCATCTCAATGATAAGTAGAATCACTACAGCAAAGAGACAGACACATTCAGATCGAGAAGACAATAAACGAACTCTAATGATGATAAATGAACCAACACTGACTAACAAATGGTGTCGTTCTCAGTATAATGCACTGCCATGTGTTAAAGACGTCTCATACCTCTGAGGGAGAATCCAGACAAAGTCTTGTTGTCTGATGAGTGGATTAAGAGGAGAGAAGAGTTGCATCAGACACAGAGATGTAATAATATAGTATCACAATAATATGATTATAGTCAAAGTAAGTGACGAACTGATCTCTTCAGAACAGCATTATTAATATTTACAGACTTACAGAGGAATATTCATGAGTCCAGCGTTGAGCTGAATACTGACATCGGCATACATTTAGTTTTCTTACCCGAGTACGTGACAGTATATCTGACTGAGGTCTGGACTTTATCTCCTTTAGTAATCTCACATCTCCACTGTGTGTTGTCGTCTTCATCGAGGAGTGTTGTAGTCAGAGAACTGTTACAGTGTTCACGAGAGAATGAGATCTGATATCTGGAGTCGGACTGCAGATCCACATCAGACTCATTCTTCCACACCAGATTAATTCCCTCTTTATGGAAGAGATCAACACAACTATACACTTCATATACATACAACTGACAGGAGAGAGAGAACGAGCGTCCAGGTCTAATCTCAGTCTGTGTGGATGATGGAGAGACTGAAACAGAAATCACACAACACACATTTATTCCAGTAAACATGAGTTTAAAGACGGTATTTAATCATATAATGAACAGAAACACTGACCATGAAGAACATGCAGATCAACATCATCATCAGTGTATCTCGTTGTATTCAGATGTTGCCTGCAGGTGTAAAGTCCATGATCTTCAGTTGTGGCTTTATAGATGTTTAGAGAGCAGTCAGACCCCAGACTCAGTCTCTCATGTCTCTCTATATCATTATTCTTCATCCCTTCTATAAATAATACAACTGTCCCTGAACTCCTTTCTCTGTTATACATCCATGTAGTTGATGTGCAGTCGGTTGAAGCATTGACACAGGGCAGACTGACGCTCTCACCATCACTGATGAACACATTGAGATATGTGATCTCTCCACTGGTGCCTGAGACAGAGTAGATGTGTGTGTTCAGATTGTGCATCAGCAACATGACATCATGACTTTTGCGTAAACATACACGCCACTTTCGAGTCAAGTGGCGTGTTATCTCTACGCATTTTGAGCTATCCGTGTGTATCCACGTGTATGTCTACGCCATTAACGGACCCGCGGTACACGCCGTCAAATGTACGAGCGAAACGAAGCAAAATGTAGATCTACATCTGGGGAGCGATCTTTCTTTCCTAGGATGGTAAGGGAAGACTCATAAATGCCATTAACCCCAGTGACGGGTCGGTTTAGGGACGGGGTTGAGGTAAGTCATATATTTATATATACAGTAATAACGTTAAGTCAACGGCGGAAAAGCGATTATACGTCTTGATAGCACGCAAAAAATGGAAATACAAATTGGCGTGTCATTCACACGCTACTTCATGAGATCAGTCTGGCATCAGATACTCTTAAACACAGCTTACAATTACATAGTTACAAAGATGACAAAAACCTACATCTAACCTAGTGCGGACCACATAAATATCAGAGAAAAGTGATCTTATTCACCAATCCAAATTAAATTATCTTCTTTACATAAAATACTTTTCCATCAGATGTTTGATTGTGAGAGAGAGACAATCAGGACATCAAAATGACAACATGAATGTCTGCAAACACTCAGAAAAATAACTCTTTGAATGAACATAAAAAATCATGGAAAGGTTTTCTACATAATTAACTTGCTTTATTTCAGCATTATGCAATTCTGTTATTCCAATTAATAATAATAATAATAAAAGTATTATTGCATTGAGTCAACTTAATGTACTAAGTTGATTCAACTTATTTACTATGGGTCAGCATAGCTTAATTTAATATTGTCAGTGAATTTAAAAAGACTCCCAGATATGATTCAGGCATTCAAATTTATAATATTCATTCATCCAATTCAATAAAATTTATTTTAATGTCACAATACATTTCTAGGATAAATATTAACTACCAATAGCATTTGTTAGCATCTTAAATCATAAGATTTACATGCTTCATCAACCAAAGGTATGCTGCTTCAGCCTGACCAAATGCTCCACTCTTCTCCACAATGGTAACCCACTGTAATTTAAATGGTACTAATAATTGCAATGTAATTGAACATTAAACACAATTACGCACTAGAACCTCATTTTCTGAAAAACACATTAAATAACACTTAATTTAGACATTTATTCTCTCTTAATTCAGCCATATGCAAAGCAAGCTGCGAACGAGCACAGCGGTTTCAGTTATCGCAACACAAATCATTAATGTAATCCAACACAAACAGATTAAGTAAACTTAAATTTTACATATTTAAGCAGATTGAACACAATCAAATTAAGTTTGGACAAAATGTATGGCATTTGTGTTGCTTAAGCTCGTTTTAATTAAGCAATTTCGACAAGCAGCAAAAATCTTTTTTTTGAGGAAGATCAAATCTGACAGACTAAAGTACAAGCAATGATCATAACCACATATGAACTATCATGTATGACACATGCAGATTCATTTACCTTTGAGAAATGAGCAGAGAAAAATCAGCCCCAGCAAACTCTGATCAGCCATTTTCTGTCTCTGTCCGTCTTCCATGGTTTATTATTATCTCAGTTCTTCTTTTTAACCGCATCAGTTCCTGTGGTCAAAACTTCATGTCATCAGCCTAACGTGTTTAGTCCTGAATCTACAGCTGCTACTCAATGACATGAAGTGTTGACCTGCATTACGTTTAGATGAAAATTCATGTTCATAATGTTTCAAAACTCAGACAGACGGGCGGATAGATAGCAGAGCTTCACGAGCTTGACCGTGACAGTCTTGAACTTTTGTCTTTGTCAAGCCAACACTATAATGCTTTTAAACAAAGTATCTTAAAGGAGCATTTCACCCATTGCAACATTAATCTTTATTGAAAGTGGATCATATATGTAGTCGAAATGTAAAATAATTTTTTAATTTGGTGCCCTCTTGACCGAGAAAAGACAGAAAATAACCAAGGGGCGCCTAAATATGAAAAAACTACATGTCCCACAATCCACAGCTCCGCAAGCCACACCCACTAAGGAACAGCGGCGCAAACAGAGAATCCATTCTTCCGTCTACAAGGCTAACAAGCCTGTCACCGTCACCGGAGTTTGAAATTCATTTCACACAAAATGTCTAGTTGGCTGTGGCGAGCAGGACGATCGAGGGCGAGGGATGTAACTTATGAGGCCGGCGCTCTGCGCGAGGCCGGTGGCGTGAGTTATAACAGAGACTGATAATGAAAGACACATGTGAGCCGCGCGCCGGTCCCGCGTCTCTCACGGAGAACCGAAAGCATAAAACGGGGAGCGACGACGGCAGATCGAGAGAGAAACAGGCCTGATTTTATCCTGTGTTTTGTTTCTGTTGTGTGTAACGTTACAGCAGTCGCCAATCAGGGGCTGCTGGCTTATACTTTCGTTTTGTATTTGTTCATTTTACTATTAAAATGCTTAAATGTTCGCCGGTTCCTGCCTCCTCCTTCCCACAACAACAAACCCCGTTAACGTTACATTGGCAAACTCATTAGTGAATTACACCTCATTTGTGTTTATTTCTGTTTGGTGAATTACTGCATGTTACCTGGATATTTAGTCAGGCGAAACTACCACAACACAAACGTCCTTGTGCTCATCTGATCAGAGATTTCCTCCAGGAGAAATTGCCATCGTTGAAATTCTCTGCAGAAGACGGACTCTGTGTCCGTAGGCCGTAGCACACAGCGAGAGTACAGGCACCAGTAATCCGCCCAGCGCCAGAGTCAGTGCGGGGTCCTCGACCGACGGGCAGCCGCCTCCTGTTCCTCCATCAGCCTCAGCTGCTCTAAACTATACTGCGACTCGTAAAGATAACCACGAACATCGGATTCGAGCAGCAGAATTTCAAAATCCTCTTCTTCCATATCATGTTTAGTTTCTTCCGTCATTGTCATAACTTACGATCTCCACAGCGCTTGTTAGCTTAGCTTCCAAACAAGATGGCGGATATTGATTTCAATTTCTGCAAGTGAAGTCCCACCCACTGATCTGTAATAGGCTTGTAGGGTGAGTGGGTCCAACACCCTGGAATAATAATGAGCTAACATGTGTAGTTCTAAAGATTTTAATGAAATATGACTTCCTGCTTATCGTGACGCAAAATGACGATTTTTACGTCACGATAAGCAGGAAGTTAAACACTTAAATCCTTATTTATCCCATCTCAGGGGAAAATAAGGAAAAAAACCATGACCATTCAAAAATAGGACTGGGTTTCTAAAGATACAAAGCTTAATCCAAATGGGTGAAGTAACCCTTTAAATGTTCCATAAGAAAGACTGAACAAGAGTCATCTATGAGTTTTCTCATGCTCAGTTCTAGAGTTATGTTTAGTTTCATGATGTAGTTCATCAGAACATTGCTTTATTTTAAAAGAACTAATTTTAGCAGAAGCTGAGAAAGTTGCTTCAACATGGGTATTCACACATCACGGTATTTCAGGACTTGTGACATCAGAAACCCAGACCACCGTACCACAGAAAACACCAGCCAGCGGTTAATGATCGCAGCCAGTGCGCCAGTACAGAGGCTCAAGTGCAAAACAGTGCAGACAAAGAGCCAAATATTATAGTAATTTATCAGAAAGAGCCATATACTTGGTCATAATTTACATTAGCTGTTTGAAGAAGAGCTCTGTCTTCATATGTTTTGGAAAATTGTAATTCTATTCTGATCTCATGAAATGGCGTATGTATGACATCCCAATTCCTATTTCCATTTTTGGCGTGCTATCAACACGCATATCACTTTTCAGCGTGTATATGAACGCTGTTGACTTAACGTTACATTACTGTATATATAAATCTATGACCTAACCCTGTCCCTAAACCTACCCGTCACTGGGGTTAATGGCATTTGAGTCTTCCCCTACCATCCTAGGAAAAAAAATATCACTCCCCAGATGTAGATCTACATTTTGCTTCGTTTCGCTCGGACATTTAACGGCGTAGACATACACGTGGAATCACTCGGACATTTAACGGCGTAGGCATACACATGCATACACGGGGATAGCTGAAAATATGTATAGATAACACACCACTTGACTTGAAAGTGGCATGTGTGTTTATGCAAAAGTCATGATGTCATGTTGTTCTATTAGAAGTTTGAAGGGATGGGAGGTGTCGTTAGGAGTCATAATATTAATATTTATTGAGTGTTTGTTGTGGATCACTGGATGCTGATATCTAGGATCACCTCAACCCGCTATTGACTTACCTGCTGTCACGACACACGCAGGAGAGAGACAGCAGATTCAAGTACAGTTAGATAAATTTATTTGGGGTCATCCGTAAAGTGCAATCCAGGCAAAAGTCAAAAACCATGTAAACAATCCAACAAGAATAATAAAATACAGGAACAGGCAAGAAACCAACCAGGAAGTATGAGGACATCTAACAAGGACTCGACAACTAACATAGAAACAGCCAGAGTATATATATATACACAAAGATCTAACAATGTGATGGGAAACAGCTGAGTGCAATGAACTGATGACTGACAGAAAGAATGCTGGGAATGCTCAGAATTAAAGTTCAATGTGAAAGACACAGAGAGAACAAGGACCTCTACTGACAACCCAGGGAAACACAACAGACACTGACAGTACCCCCTCTCTACGGAGCGGCTACCAGACGCTCCATAACGCATCTACAAAAAAACAACACAAGAGTTCAGGAGGGAGGTGGAACGGTGGAAGATCAGGGTCCATGAAGGGAAACAGGAACAAGGGGTGACGGCTTAACCGACGGCCAGGGCAAAACCAAGACTCCAACGGCTGGCCAGGGTGGAGAAGATGACAGTCCTTTGGGCGGCAAGGGCGGTGAAGACCCTTCGGACGGCCAGGGCGGTGAAGACCCTTCGGGTGGTCAGGGGAACGTAGGTCGTGCAAGCGGCCAGGGCGGTGAAGACAGTCCATCAGGTGGCCAGGCCGGAGAAGACGACACTCCTTCAGACGGCCACGGTGGTGAAGAGCCTTTGGGCGGTCAGGGCGGTGAAGAGCCTTCGGGCGGCCAGGGCGGTGAAGGACCTTCGGGCGGCCAGGGAGGTAAAGACCCTTCGGGCGGCAAGGGCTGTGAAGACCCTTCGGGTGGTCAGGGCTGTGAAGACCCTTCGGGTGGTCAGGGCTGTGAAGACCCTTCGGGTGGTCAGGGCTGTGAAGACCCTTCGGGTGGTCAGGGCTGTGAAGACCCTTCGGCCGGTCAGGGCTGTGAAGACCCTTCGGGCGGTCAGGGCTGTGAAGACCCTTCGGGTGGTCAGGGCTGTGAAGACCCTTCGGACGGCCAGGGCGGTGAAGACCCTTCGGACGGCCAGGGAGGTGAAGACCCTTCGGGTGGTCAGGGCTGTGAAGACCCTTCGGGTGGTCAGGGCTGTGAAGACCCTTCGGGTGGTCAGGGCTGTGAAGACCCTTCGGGTGGTCAGGGCTGTGAAGACCCTTCGGCCGGTCAGGGCTGTGAAGACCCTTCGGGCGGTCAGGGCTGTGAAGACCCTTCGGGTGGTCAGGGCTGTGAAGACCCTTCGGACGGCCAGGGCGGTGAAGACCCTTCGGACGGCCAGGGCGGTGAAGACCCTTCGGGCGGTCAGGGCTGTGAAGACCCTTCGGGTGGTCAGGGCTGTGAAGACCCTTCGGACGGCCAGGGAGGTGAAGACCCTTCGGGCGGTCAGGGCTGTGAAGACCCTTCGGGTGGTCAGGGCTGTGAAGACCCTTCGGACGGCCAGGGCGGTGAAGACCTTTCGGGCGGCCAGGGAGGTGAAGACCCTTCGGGCGGCAAGGGCGGTGAAGACCCTTCGGGCGGCAAGGGCGGTGAAGGACCTTCGGGCGGTCAGGGCTGTGAAGACCCTTCGGCGTTCAGGGGGGTGAAGACCCTTCGGGCGGCAAGGGCTGTGAAGACCCTTCGGGTGGTCAGGGCTGTGAAGACCCTTCGGGTGGTCAGGGCTGTGAAGACCCTTCGGGTGGTCAGGGCTGTGAAGACCCTTCGGCCGGTCAGGGCTGTGAAGACCCTTCGGGCGGTCAGGGCTGTGAAGACCCTTCGGGTGGTCAGGGCTGTGAAGACCCTTCGGACGGCCAGGGCGGTGAAGACCTTTCGGGCGGCCAGGGAGGTGAAGACCTTTCGGGCGGCCAGGGTGGTGAAGACCTTTCGGGCGGCCAGGGTGGTGAAGACCTTTCGGGCGGCAAGGGCGGTGAAGGACCTTCGGGCGGTCAGGGCTGTGAAGACCCTTCGGCGTTCAGGGGGGTGAAGACCCTTTGGGCGGTCAGGGCTGTGAAGACCCTTTGGGCGGTCAGGGCTGTGAAGACCCTTCGGACGGCCAGGGCGGTGAAGACCTTTCGGGCGGCCAGGGAGGTGAAGACCCTTCGGGCGGCAAGGGGGGTGAAGACCCTTCGGGCGGCAAGGGCGGTGAAGGACCTTCGGGCGGTCAGGGCTGTGAAGACCCTTCGGCGTTCAAGGGGGTGAAGACCCTTTGGGCGGTCAGGGCTGTGAAGACCCTTCGGGCGGTCAGGGGGGTGAAGACCCTTCGGGCGGCCAGGGCGGTCAAGACCGTTCAGGTGGTCAGAGGGAGGCAGGTCGTGCAGGCGGCCAGCAGACACCGGCTCAGGAACAGGAACAGACACCGGCTCAGGAACAGACACCGGCCCGGCGGCAGCCATCTTGTCTGTGGACACTAGAACAGGCTCAGGAACAGACACTGGCTCCGGCTCTGGAACGGCAGACACTGGCTCTGGGGTCCCCTGACCACCTAAACTTCACCATAGTCTTCCTCAGTGCCACGAAGTACCTATTTTGACCCCTAACCACCTATCCTCTTCCTCATTTCTACAAAGTGCCCGAACTTCACCATAGACTTCCTCATGACCGCAGAGTGCATATTCTGACCCCTAACCACCTATTTTTTGACAGTTGTTTGGGGGCGGTGTGACAGAAAGGTGTGTGCTCAAACTGACGTGTGCGCCCCATCACGGGCCCCTGGGACAGGTTCTAGAGTTCCGCGCCCCTCCAACATTTTTTCGCGCTAATTGGCCACCAACAGGCCTATGGAATAAGCTGCATGTGGGACGTTAAAGGGGACATATCATGCAAAATCCACTTTTTTAGCCCTTAAAGGACAACTCCGGCGCAAAATGAACCTTTGGTCTAATCACACATTGCTACCTAGTCAACCGTTATCTGAGATTTGTTTTCATGATTGCCGAATGTAAATAGTTTTATCTCTAAAAACAGTTTAGCCTATAGTGCTAGTATAATGCTAGTATATAGGGCATAGAGTAATGACAAGTAAAAATCGCTTGTTATTACCACTAACAAGGCTCAAAATAGCCCCACAGTAAAACGACAGCATAACAAAGGTCCCTACATTCAAACCGAAGCATTGAGAACTTTGTCAGTGTCCATACAGTTTAATAAGAAGATATTTTATACACACAGTCAACTTCGCGAATACAGGAAGAAGCCATCTTTGAAAATTAGTCTCTACCAGTCGATCTAAGAACGCCGATCCATGTGCGCTGAAATGTGCAGAATCTCATATGGTCCGTTGTTTTCGGAAGAAACACAAACACGAACCGTTTTCTTCTCTTCAATATGTACACGTAGCCTACTGTTCGCGCTCACATTATCACCTTATTCACATCTCACCGGTGGACATGGATCGGCGTTCTTAGATCGACTGGTAGAGACTAATTTAAATTTACTAATTTACTAATAGCAGCAAGTAGTTTAAGTTTCGTCATGCATGTGTGTAAAAAAAAAATGATTTTTTGGTGAAGTAAATACTAGTGAAAAAACCCAATGTAATTTACTTTAAAAAGTTAGCTCAGACAAGAATTTAAAAAACTAAGTAAATTCCATATCAGTACTTAATTCAAGCCAGTAGAAATGAAAGTGTAAATATCAACTCAATAAAATTAAGTAAAAATTACTCAACTTTTCTGATACTGGGGTTCCCATCATGCACTGGACCTTGAATAATTAATGAGGCTCATTTTTCACTGGTTTCCAGCTGTATTTACACTGTTTTATCATTGATTTTTGTTGTCAGTAGTATTAGTAAATTGCCATTTTGTGACATTTCGAGTAAATTTTTTGCTCAAAATTACACATTCAAACACAAAAACGACCCATCATGCCATTGTGTATTGTCTACCTTGAGGTGTTTGCATTCACATGAGGCTTAATGTCTGACATGATGTATATATAAATTACTTAGATGATCTAAGTAAAGCACATATAAATGACTAATAAAATTCAAAGATGATTGTTTTAGTGAAATGTAATACAAAGGCAAAGGAAATTGATATTAATCAACCTTTTACTAGCTAAAAGTTAAAATTACTTATTTTTTGTAAAGTTTACTTAATTCCATATTCCAAGTAAATTTAACTTAAAGATTTCTAATTAAAGCTACTGATAAATGTTTAGGTTTTTACTTGGCAAATCTTTGTAAATTTACTAGCATTTTCTGAGTGAGATAGTTTAGCAAGGTTTTTTCAAGTAAATCCTACTCCAAATTTTTTACAGTGTATTTACAACAAGTGTGTGACAACTAGCCCCGCTCACCCCCAGTGTGTGAGCAAGCATATCCTAATATATATGAGAATCGAGTCGCTTGTAGGCTATCTGAATGCCTTTGACCCTCCAGCAGTTTCTCTCATTACACGTGTTTACAGTAAACGCCTCGCCATACCGGTCTCACCACTGATGATGATGATGATGATGATGCTGATGCTCACCTGAAACACAGGTGTGTCCTGAACACCACACACACACACACACTGTGGAACTTACATCTCAATATGAACACTGAATGAGTTTCTTATTCTACTAACTTTCTATACTATGGAAGGTCCATCAACTGTTTTTCAAAATATCTTCTTTTGTGTTCAGAATATTCAGGTTTGAAACAACTCAAATGATGACAGAAGGTGAACTGTCCCTTTAAGGGATGAAGATTTAATGGTTTTAATATTATTATTTATATCTATACAATGGAAGTCAGTGCTTACTATTGCTGGTGATGTTAATGATTATTGTCAACTTACAATGACTCGACTTATTTTTGTCAAAATACCAAAGATTTCATGGTGATTTTGTTGTAGAATTAAGGTAGCTCTCTGTGTATTAGACACAATCATCCTCAAAAGAGAAAAGAAAGCATAACATTTGTCTAAACATAATTTTTATTAAATTCAAACAGGCAGAAGCCTTTATGACAAACACATTTCGTCGCAAATTGTCAATGCTATAAAGTGTAATGTTAACACTCCGGCATGTAGGGGAGCTGCGGGTCACGGTGTTTGATTGTTTCATGAAAATTAGCCTACTCATATTTTTCTTTCTTTTTTTTATGCTTTTGTTTTAAAGACTTACAAATACAGCCAAAAAGGTATGTTTATAAACAAAACAAGCGAACAAAATATAAAATAAAATCAAAAGATAGAATTAAAGTTCAATAAAAAGTTAAAATATTGATTTTAACCCTTAACGCTCCCTTGTTACTCTGTATTTTGGGCACTTCTTGCGTTGGTTTTGCCTCTTCACGATGACTCGCTTTAATTTAGTCCTATTTTTTAAATCGCTTTGCATTAAAGCGTCTAAATGTAAATGTAAAATACTTAATAAAAATGCTCATTACCCACATTTTTACATGTAGCCTATGCACTAAATGTAGATATTAGTAGTATCAGATAGATTAAATAATATTCTTTATGATAAGGCATGTCATTAGTGAGAAATAAATACTGAATATAACATTTTTGAAAGCTGGACATTAAATCCGTCATCTCTTTCGCTTCAGCTGTGATGTGTCCAATGACCGTGTATTTCCGTGTACGCCTCGGCCAATCAGCGGCGTCCACGAGGTGCAGGTCGGAGGCGGAGCCCACAGTCTGTGACAGACGTCAAATCTGCCCAATCATCATCGCGCACGCTCTAAGAGGCGTGCCCACGCTGAACTCAGCGGCCAATCGGATCGTACGGGAGGCGGGGCCTGTGTGTGGGGATTCATCGTCCACAGCCACACGTGACGCGCTGTAGTCGCAGGCGGAGAGCTGTATCAGTGAGCACGGGTGAGTAACACCACACCTCAAACACTCGCTTTACACACCTGTGTGCCTTTCTGCTCACCTGCAGAGCGTTTAACGATGGTTTTTTGCAAGAGAGCGGGGTTATATGCAGGGTAAAAAGGAGTAAGTGCGTTACCTAAAGGCTAGTTGGTCAGCTAGCCGCTAAGCTAACAGTTGTACGTTAGGTGTCATGTCAAGAAACCAGAACTCACCATTGAAACCTGTTTCGTGTCATTAAGAGTGTGATTTGATCGTGAGAGGAGTAAGATGAAAGCTGTGCTCGTGTATAATGTATAATGTTGCTGCTGACAGAGATTTAGAAGTTAGTCGAGCAAGCGCCGACTGATGTGATAACGTTATATGCGCTGTTAATCATTATATATATGTGAGTTATAGGGCTAGTTCATCTCCCCTGAACACTCGCGTCTGCACAGAAACCTGTATTTGTGTCTGAAGTTAGATGCAGGTGTAATAGAGCCAGTTCATATCGATTAGTCCCGCACACAGTGATCAAATATCACTCCACAGTCTTTTGCTTTCAGTTTGAGGGAATGCATGGATGTTTCTGGAAAGCACGACTGTGGGATACAACACGGAACAGCCAAACCGGCTAAACTAGAGCAGCACATGTCAGTTAACCCGTCACTTCCGGCCTGTTGGGGAGAAGGTCACGCGAGACAGACTTAATGAGGTTTGGTCTGATTAAAACACAAGTCGTCTTATTTCCGTGTGTGTGTGTGTGTGAGGGAAATCATGCAATTCACACCAGCAAGGAAGTGTTTGCCATGACCCCTTGTTAACATGTAACTGTGTTTTCAGATTCTGGCTCAACTTTGACCTATATCTTTAACCCGAGGATGACCTACTCTTTCTAGAAGTGCGACACTGTTCCTCTATGAACGGGGTCATGCCAATTATCTACAGGGCTTTATCTATTCACTTTTATAGCCTGTGTCCTGCTCAAGGCATCGAGTCACGCCTCACTGGTGCACCCTGGGAAGGTTGTGTGTGTGTGAAGGCCTGTGGTACCTTCCCCCATCGACTCGAGCCCAGATCTGTGTGTGCAGTCGAGTGTAAAGAGGCTTAACCCTGTGTGTGTTCACTGTTGGGTGCCGAGCTGTACGCACCCCAACAAGCGCTGTGTGTTAAACAACCAATATAATGTACAATTGTCCAGAATCAGTGTCAATATGGAGCTCAAGTCTGGAAGCATGCGTTTTAAAAGTGATACGCCCCTTTTCACCAGATGTAGCCTAATATAAATCTGTGCTTTCCCCCAGAATGTGTCTGAAGTTTCAGCTCAAAATATCAGATTGTTTATTATAGCTTTTCAAATTTGCCCCTTTTTGGGTGTGAGCAAAAACACACTGGTTGTGTGTGTGTGTGTGTCTCTTTAAATGCAAATGAGCTGTTGCGTTAGAACTTTCCTCGTTTGGCGCTCACAGAACCGAATGTCGTGCCGTGTGTGTGAACGTGCAGATTAACAGCCGGGAATATTATAATAAGATCCTCTTCCTGAGGGAAATCTGATCGGCTTAATTTGGACTCGCCCGCAGAGAAAGGCTCACTGGGTTCCTCTCTTCATGTTTTCTGTGTTGTCAGAAGTGCAGGGACCCGATTACAGCACTTACACACGGGGAAAGTCAGATTTACGTGATATGCCCCGGTTAAAGATGTGCCAGTTTACTCTTATGCTGTTCTGGTGTGAGCTTTCCTGAGCGCGGACACTTAAAGCACATTAACTAAGTTCTCTTTAGTGTTGTTTTTTTGAGCTTAAAGGAGTAGTTCACTTTTAAAAAACTTTTGCTGATAATTTACTCGCCCCCGTGTCATCCAAGATGTCCGTGTCTTTCTTTCTTCAGTCGAAAAGAAATTAAGGTTTTTGATGAAAACATTCCAGGATTTTCACCATATAATGGACTTCAATGGGGTCCAAACGGTTCAAGGTCCAAAAGACAGTTTCAGTGCAAACTGTTTAAAGGGCTTTAAACGACACCAGACGATGAATAAGGGTCTTATCAAGCGAAACGAGCGCTCATTTAATAAATAAATAACAAAGTTTAAGTTTTATAAGCTCAAATGCTCGCCTTGCTCGACTCTCCTGTTCGAACTCGTTCATCAAAATGAACAAATCTTTTTTCGAGTCATTTCATTTGTTGAATGAACCAAATGACTCGTTTGTTTGATTTGTTTGAATGGAACCAAAGTTGAATACCAACATTTTAGTTTGACCTGTAGGCCTACACCAAATGCTGTGCAAAAAACATAAAAATAATAATAATTAAATATTATTATTAATATTATATATTAGAAAACTAGTAAAATCTACTTTTTTTTTCCCATATTAATTTGTGAATATTTTAAATGTTTAATAATATATATATATATATATTAGGGCTGTGCAAAAATTAATTGCGATTAATTGCATTCAAAATAAAAGTCTGTGTATATGATATATTTTTGTGTGCTGTATATAATTATTTTGTATATATAAATACACACACATGCATGTATATATTTAAGAAAATGTGTTATTCATATATAAAATATTTATATAATATAGATTATCTATTTATGTATGTATACAGAATTTAAGCGCAAATAATTCTTAAATGCATGCATGCATAGGTATTTATATATATACAAAATAAATATACAGCACACACAAACATATTATGTAAACAGACTTTTATTTTGGATGCGATTAATCACAATTAATTTTTGCACAGCCCTGATATATATCTATATTGACAAGTTTTCAGATATTTATGACTTTTTGTCCCTTTATTAAACATTTAGAATATTCCCAAATTAATCCCAATTAGCTCATGCTAATATCCTCTCCAGATTAGCTTCTCAATGCTGATGGTGGAGTGCTGATGTTGTGTAATCGCTCTTCCCCCACAGATGAGCAACAGATGGGTCAGTACTGGGTCCTGTGACCCCCGACCCCACACACACACTCGCTGTGAAACCCCAGAGATCCTCAATTCAAGTGTCCTGTTCTGAAACATCAGCTTCGAGCGAGTTTCTCGGGTCAGTTCAGTGAGGTTTAACTCTTTCCCCGCCAGCGTTTATGATCCACACTTCCATGCAAAATAACCAACGGCCCAGAGCTGCAATCTAGATTCAGACACACACTCGATCTTATTCCTGAATGACAGCGGTTTGTCTCTTACGTCTATTAAAGCTTTAATCACAGGAGAGTTCAGATGTGTGTCCTGATCCAGAGCCGTCGTCATGTGTAGATATGAAACCGCTTCACTGACAGACTTTTCAACATCACAGTCTTATAATAGTTCATATTATCACAGAAGCGCTGGGGTATACAAGTTTATAGTTCAGATGAAACGATAATGATTTAATTTTCCTCGAAAAATCGATGATGAGTTTGATTAAATGTTTAGTATAATATTTATACTCCAAACGCAAAATGAAACCGCTATAAATGACTGGAAAAGTGTAAAGAATTCAAAACCGTGAAGTGTGTCCTGTTCTGCCGATAACGAGTCACAATTAACGATCTGTTTTCACTTATGAGCAAAAATCTGCCTTTAAACTCAAAGGAAATCTGACGTTTATCTATCAAAAGTGATGGTTTATCTCTCCCAGCCCTGCGATTGCCTCGTAACACCAGTAGACGGGGAAAAACGTTGATTCGTCCATTATGAAACTAGCGAAGACTTTGAGCGAGTCGTTGAATCATTCACTCTAAAAATCTCTAAATTAACTAAATATTTGTTATTTGTGATCCTCAATTAATGCTTTTAAATAATCATTTTATTGTAGCTTCACTCGTCCCTCATCAACAACAAGGCTGGATGAGTGTGTGTGTGTGTGTTGTGTTTTGTGTGCCATGGTGATGTCGCTGCACAGGTTCAGTGTGTGAGTAATCCTGAGTGTGTTGAGCTCATTAGCAAAGTGGTGTGTGTGTGTTTAACAACAGCACCCTGATGAGGGCTTCAGATGCCCCTGAGCGCACACACACACACACACACACACACACACACACACACACACACACACTGGAGACTGCACTGAGATTGAGCTCGTATTGGTCGTTAGAGTACTTAGACCGGCTCCTGTTCGTCAGTTGTAATGATGCTGTAAGGAGAAACGACTGCTCTGTCCAGCAGGAACACATGCTCTGGTGAAGTGCCCGTTAGTTACAGAGGAGTGTGAGTGTGTGTGTGTGTGTGTGTGTGTGTGTGTGTGTGTGTGTGTGTGTGTGCGCGCACTGGTTGTTTGTGTAATCTGATTGTGGTAAACCTTATTAAAGAAAAGGGGCTGATGCTGCAGGGTTCCGCCTCCCTGCTGTCGCCGTGGCGACTAGAGTCACAGGCACTATGGGATGGCAACCGCAGGCCTGTGTCGCTGTCGTGTGCGGCGCATCTCTAAGACCATATAGTGTGTGTGTGTGTGTGTGTGTGTGTGTGTGTGTGTGTGTGTGTGTGTGTGTGTGTGGACTTCTGCTGCCGTCAGTTCTCCATGAGGGATTACTGGAAACTGTTGCTCTCTTTTCTCCAAACTTTACATACACACACACACACACACACACACTACACACACACACACACTACATGCAAAACGTCACACATCTTTTTCATAACCAAATGCATCATTCAAAACTATAGTAACAACTTCTAAAAATGCTATTTTTGTGCAGTGTAACTCTACATGCAAACATCTAGGGCTGTGAAACGATTAATCGCATCCAAAATACACATTTTTGTTTACAACGTGTGTGTGTGTGTGTGTGTGTGTGTAATTATTTATATATATATATATATATATATATATTAGGGCTGGGTATTGAGACAAATTTCACAATTCGATACGATTTCGATTCACAAGCTTGCAATTCGATTCGATTCAATATCGATTATTTTGGATATCAGTTACAATAAATGCCAATTTTTCTCAAGGGAATCAAATCTCTGAACTAATGCTGTAAACTATGGGAGTCTAGTTGTAGCCTATAGGCTTCATTAGCCTAATATGAAGGTAATAATGAATGAATCACTTAAATTACACTTTTATTTATTTTTATAATATGATGATTATATGAAATATAAACATTTAAATGGTGGCTGTCATAAAAACTTGCCAGATTTATTCAAATATGCATTAAATATTGAAGAACATTAAGATTATAATGCATATGTAATATGGTGTATATATTTAGCAAAATGCTCCTCTCTAGAGTTATTTTTTCTAGCTGACTAACGAGTTTATGTGGGTTTTCTGAGGTAAATATGACGATACATTGATTACGAGCTGTTTAACTGACGTCTTTCCACGGTTGAAACGCTGATTGAGCGAATCAATGTGACATGATCCGGATTTGGATAAGTTGTACTCTATCTTTAACACACTTTCAGATGCTCATTCATGTTTATTTGGCGCTGTGACTGGTATTATTAAGCCGGAAGAGAGATCAGCGCTGCTGCTTCTCCAGAGCGATCTCACGCCACAGCGACAAAACACTATTTATGTTTTTGAGTTTCTAAAGAAAATGGACGTGATTTGAAATTTGAGACTTTGTTTCATATCAATAGTAACAAAGGACAAAGATTATTGCGATTTTTTTTGGATGCGCGCAGCCGCGATACAATGATCCATTCATTCAAATGAAACAGGATGACTAATCGATTCTTGAGATTTAAGAATCGATATCAGTTCGTAAAAATGAGAATCGATTAATATCGAGAAAATCGATATTTATTACCCAGCCCTAAAATATATATATAAACGCACATGCATGTATATATTTTATTAAATATTTCATGTATGTACTTGATATATATTTATACAAAATATAAATTATACATTAATATATATATATATATTTGATATATTAAGAACACATTTTTCTCAAATATATACATGCGTGTGTGTATGTATGTATATATATATATATATATATATATATATATATATATTAATTATACACTCTACACACACATGTTGTAAACAAACTTTTATTTTGGATGCGATTAATCGTTTCACAGCCCTACAAACATCACATGATTATCCACACACACCCCAAACTACACACGGATGTGAACAAATTATTTTTGCAAAAAAGTTTTTTTTACAATAGCAGGCAGAGTGTAAAGCGCTTGTAGTTTTGCAGACTTGCTCTGAAGATTCGGTTCATGAGTGAGCCTCGAGGAACACTTAGTGCCAAAGCTTAACATCTGAAAAGGTGAAGTTCACTTCATATGTCCTGCTAATGAGGAGTCCTGATGTGTTCAGTGATTCATTAGAGACCATTTGATTCTCTGAGTCTTGATTCATTTGAAAGTGAATCAGGTAGGCTTTGTGCTTTTTTAACATGAAACCAAGTTTGTGGTTATTGGATAGTAGACTCGCTACGACTAATGTTTGTGTCGTTTTCCTGTTATCCGTGTTCGTATGGCTCTGTTCTGTATGAAGCGCTGTGGAAATAAAGCTGTGGTTATACTGGTTATAAGAGGCCTGTGTGATCTTGTGTGCAGACTATGGAGCTGAAGATGCGGTTGTGTGTGGCGCTGGTGTCTCTGAGTGTGTGTGCGCTCCTCGCGGGTCACGTGAGCGCTCAGGACGAGGCCGACGACATGGACATGGACGTGGAAGATGCCATCGACGACATGCATGAGGAAGAGCTGGAGGAAGAGGAGCCGACGGCCCCGGCCGCACCACCGGTCCCCACGGTAACAGCGTTAGCCCATGAGTCCTGCAGCCGCCCTCATGAAGGAGTTCGCCTACTCGCCCACACGACATCGTCTTTCTCCAGTAACTATAACAATAACTATTTATCAGACCGGCCCTCGAAACCATAGAAACACTACCGGACCACCGGTAAAAGTCCCGACTCACCCGATTGCCACTCCGCCCCTGCACGCCATTAAAAAATATAGCCTATATATATGAATCGATTTTTGGAATTCTATGAATCGATTTTGAATCGGTAAAGATTGAATCGCGATTCAAATGTGAATCGATTTTTTTTTTTTGCACACCCCTATCAAAAATCTTCATTTCTGTTCCCCTGAAGAAAGACGTGAACATCTTAGATAACGTGTGGGCGAGTAAATCGTCAGTAAATTAATCCTAATAGTGAACTCCTCCTTTTGTTCTGTTGAGTAAAGCAGAGACAGCCCGTGATTGGTTGAGGTGTTTGATCTGCCAATCATTCATCAAGTCACTTAAAGGGCCAGTTCATATAAAAATGTACTTCAGTCCAGATTTATTTCCTTCCTTCAACACGGTTTTCTCAAATGTTGTGTTTTATAATATAAACACACACACACACATATATATATATATATATATATATATATATATATATATATATATAAGTTTTAGACCGGTAAGATTTTTTATGTTTTTAAAAGAAGTCTCTTCAGCTCACCAAGGCTGTAATTATTTGTTAAAAATTACACAAAAAACAGTAATATTGTGAAATATTATCACAATTTAAAACAGCGGTTTTCTATGTGAATATATAGTGAAGTGTAATTTATTCCTGTGATCAAAGCTGAATTTCCAGCATCATTACTCCAGTCTTCAGTGTCACATGATCCTACAGAAATTATTATAATATGATGCTCAAGAAACATTTATGATTATTATCCATGTTGAAAACTGTTTTTTACATTTTTATTTCAGGATTCTTTGATGAATAGAAAATTCAAAAGAACAGAATTGAGCTTTTGTAACATTAATCACTACCATTCAAAAGTTTGGGGTCAGTAAGATTTTACTTTTTATTTTTTGGGGGAAAGAAATTAGAAAATACTTTTATTCATCAAGGATGAGTTAAATTGATCAAAAGTTACAGTTAAGACATTTATAATGTTAGAAAAGATTATATTTTAAATAAATGCTGTTCTTTTGAACTTTCTATTCATCATAGAATTTTGGGGGGAAAAATGGTACACGACTGTTTTCAACATTAAAAATAATTGATGTTTTTTGAGCATAAAATCAGCAGATTAGAATGATTTCTGAAGGATCATGTGATGTGTAATCAGCAACACTAATGATGTTGAAAATTCAGCTTTCAAATTACATTTTAAAATATATTAAAATAGAAAACAGTCATTTTAAATTGTAATAATATTTCACAATATTACTGTGTCTTTTTTCATCAAATAAAGCAGCCTTGGTGAGCAGAAGAGACTAAATTTAAAAACATCAAAAATCTTACTGATCTAAAACTTTTGTTGACCGGTAGTATGTATGTATATGCTATATGTGATACGATATATATATATGAAGAGTTCAGATGCAAAAGCCTCTAAATGCCATTTGAAATTTTCTTCTTTAATGATGATTTTTATCAAACTTGTATATTTAAGTTCAGTAATTTCACTTAAATAACAATTAATAGGTAATCTTCATTGCCATTCAAGTGAAATCACTGAACTTAAATATACAAGCTTGATAAAAATGATCATTCTAGAAGAAAATTTCAAATGGCATTTAGAGGCTTTTGCATCTGAACTCTTCAATATATATATATGACCGAGAGTAACTGTTAACATCTCCCTCGTGTGTCCCGAAGGTGACGTATAAAGCCCCGGAGCCGATGGGAGAACACTACTTTGCGGAGTCGTTTGATAAAGGAACACTTCAGGGGTAAGATGTCCGTCATCCTCACAACATAAAGAGTATATTTGTTATGAATATATATTACAGCTGTTCAAACAATAATATTATTACATATTATTCCAGTGTGAGTGTGAACGATCTGATGATCAAGAAATTAATTGATTTCTTGAAAAATTGATTATTAATGTTGAAAACTGGAACCGTGATGCATTTCATTCAGGATTCTTTAATGAATAGAGAGTTCAGAAGAACAGCATTTATATGAGTATTAATTCTGTGGTGTCTGTAGGTGGGTTCTGTCTCAGGCCAAGAAGGACGGCATCGACGAGGAGATAGCCAAGTATGATGGTAAGATCAGGTTTAATTGAACACATTAATGTGTCTCGATGATGAAACTAATACAATAACTAAACACTCAACCTGTGAGTAACAAAAGCACATCCCAAAACAGTGTGTCAGACTGAACGTGTGTAGATGGTTAGCTGCGCTGAACATACACACATTTGCTGTGTGTGTGTGTGTGTGTGTGTAGGGAAATGGGAGGTTGAGGAGATGCAGAACACTAAACTGCCCGGAGACAAAGGCCTGGTGTTGAAGTCCAAAGCTAAGCATCACGCCATCTCCGGTCTCCTCCTGCGACCTTTCACCTTCGACACCAAGCCCCTGATCCTGCAGTGAGTACTCGCGCCACCAATCAGAGTCCTGCTTTTGTGCTCAACGTTACAGTACATGGATATCTCCTGAGCATAGCATGTGCTTATGAAGACAGTTAATGCAGTGTGTGTGTGTGTGTGTGTGTGTGTGTGTGTGTGCGTGCTCAGGTACGAGGTGAACTTCCAGACGGGCATCGACTGTGGCGGGGCGTATGTGAAGCTGCTGTCCCAAACGCCGGACCTGGACCTGGTGAGGTCATCTGTGTGTGTGTGATGATTAGAGCTGCACTATATATCAAAATATCCCAAATCTATAGACCATTTCACAAGATGTAAACAACACTGGTCCAGAAGCACTTCCTGTTTCAGTTTTTTAACACTACATAAAAGCTGGGATAAAATACAACCAACAGAACATATAAAACTGAATCAAAGAGTTAAACAAACATCTTTAAGATGTTTTCTTTACATGTGAAATAAAGAAAACAGTTACAAACTGAAACAGGAAGAGCTTCTAGACCAGTGTTGTTTACATCTTGTGAAATGGTCTATACATCGCAATATTCATATCGCAACGGCTCTTTACGGGATGTTCACACACACACACACCCACCCCGGAAAGACACGTGACGTCAGGATGGAAACATGTTCGCTAGCGCATGCATCCGGCTCCACCCCGCGGGCTAGCGCTCTCCGCTGCAGCGGGATGACGGAGCTCCGGCTCTCTGCTGTCTCTGGCGATTGCCAACACAAACCTTCTTCTAAGAGCGACAGTCGCGCGGCGGCATCCATCCCGGTGTGACTAGCTCCCGTTCCTGGCACCAGTCGCGGGACACGTTTGCGTTCACACAGATCTCGACTCCGGTCCTCACGGCAGTTTCGGCGTAGCTCTTAACAGGGTTAGTTCACCCAAAAATGAAAATTAAGTCATTAATTACTCACCCCCATGCTGTACCAACCCCGTAAGACCTTCGTTCGTCTTCGGAACACAAATAAAGATATTTTTGATTAAATTTGAGAGCTGTATAACTACCACATTGGCTCCTAAGGGACTGCCTCTTGACGGCCCAGAAAGTCAATGAAGAAAATGTTTAAATATCCCAAGTGACTACCGTGGCTCAACTATATGTTTATCAAGCGACGAAAAAACAAACAAAAATAACGAGTTTATTCGACTATTTCTTTTGTTCCTTGTAGGCCAGAACGAGACTTCCTTAGATTTCCACGACGCATGCGCGAGATTTGCGATCTGCTCACATCAGCTTACACCACTTCAGATCGCAGTTCTCGCGCATGCGTCGTGGAAATCTAAGGAAGTCTCGTTCTGGCCTACAAGGAAGAAAAGAAATAGTCGAATAAACTCGTTATTTTTGTTTGTTTTTTCGCACAAAAAGTATTCGCGTCGCTTGATAAACATATAGTTGAGCCACGGTAGTCACTTGGGATATTTAAACATTTTCTTCATTGACTTTCTGGGCCGTCAAGAGGCAGTCCCTTAGGAGCCAATGTGGTAGTTATACAGCTCTCAAATTTAATCAAAAATATCTTCATTTGTGTTCCGAAGACGAACGAAGGTCTTACGGGGTTGATACAGCATGGGGTTGAGTAATTAATGACTTAATTTTTATTTTTGGGTGAACTAACCCTTTAACAGGGTCTCCGCGGGTCCTTAAAAAGTCTTAAAACGTTTTAAATAAAATTTTCGCTTTTTAAGGCCTGAAAATGTCTTAAAATCTGAAATTTCCGATAAGGAAGTCTTAAATTTCACGGACGGACCTTAAATTTCTTGTCCGACTCGTCATCCGTTTCTTTGTTTTATTTACAGACTGCGTTTACGAGCATTAATTCAACAATTAAATACCCAGTCAGAGCTTTTCTGTTAAAAGAACACGTTTTCTACCCGGTCTTGTCAATAGTATCTGGCAACCATGCTCGCGCGCGCTCTCCACTGCTGAAGAAGCGCTGATGATCTGAAAACAGTGATCTTCATTTGAGATTATCTACTTAAATTAATTAAAGTGTCATTCAGTTGGTCTCTATTCTGTCACGAGCTGTTTGTGCATCTAAATCTGCGATCAATACAGGCTGATATCCAGCAGTGTTTTTAATGTTGATCATATTATTGCTGTTTTGCAACGAAAGCCACTGCAGCACACAGTGGTGATTCGAATTCGTGAGATTCAATGACCCGTTCCTAAATACAGCCATTTGCTTTTGTATGTTTGTTACTGATGAATGAATGACTCGATGGCAGATGACTCGCTCATAAAGACATAAAGATACTTTTAATTTAACATTTAAAAGTATCACTTCGTTTTTAACATCATTGATATTTATTGAACATTGTTTTATTTAAAGCATTATTTATTTTATTAAAGTGTTTATACAGGTAAAAAAAATTAACTGGAAAAAAATCGATTAAAAGGGGCAGATATTGTCCCTAAATGGAAAAGTTGTGACGGCAGTCTGAGTGCGAGAGGGGGTACGGTATTATAAAAAATTGGAGAACCACTGAACTGAGGAACAGGGATATGTAGAATTGCACAAGTGCTACTGCTAAAGAGTCAGCTTGTTCTCTTGATTCAAATGTCTCCATGAGCTTAATTGAATTGGCCTAAAGCGAAAAATTATAATGTCATTTTTTTGTCTAAAGACTACATATAAAATAGCTACCAAAATTAATGTCGGTAACTGAAGTTTGACTAAAAGTTGACAAAAAATGCAATGACTTTTCGTCAACTAAAACTATGAAAGACAATATTACCAAAATGTGACTAAGACCAATAAGCATTTTCATCTGAAGACTAAAACAAAAATGGCTGCCAAAATTAACACTGTCGTGTCTTGCTGAACATTTTCCTCTTTTTTTTTTTTGTCTTAAATTTGCCTTTTAGAGGACTTAAAAAGGTCTTAAAAGTCATTAAATTTGCTGTTAAAAACTGTGCAGATACCCTGTCTTAAATGCTGTGAGGACAGAAGAGCAGGACTAGCGATGCGGCGTGACCCTTGTGCGCCCGTTACACAGATCCATCGAGGACAAAAACGTCTGTCTAAAAGCTGTCATGCTAGTGTGCAGCGCGGGGTCTCGGACCTCATATTAAAGACGACCCGTGGCAGATTATAGTCAAAAAATCAGTTTTATGAAAGTGATTTACCATCGGCGGTCACATGAGCAGCTGATCTGGTGTGTAGTGGTGACCCCATACTGATCATAGGCTGTGTGTGTGTGTGTGTGCAGGCGCAGTTCGTGGACAAGACGCCGTACACCATCATGTTCGGGCCTGATAAGTGTGGAGAGGATTACAAGCTGCACTTCATCTTCAGACACAAGAACCCCAAAACCGGCGAGTTTGAGGAGAAGCACGCCAAGAAGCCCGACGCTGACCTGCGCGCGTACTACACCGACAAGAAGACGCACCTCTACACACTGGGTAACACACACACACACACACCTGAACCCGCTACTGTACATGTGTAACTGAATCAGACCGGCTCGTGCCGAAGCAAACCGTCTGTCTGAAGTGTGTTGTGTGTGTGTGTGTGTGTGTTCTCTCCTGCAGTGCTGAACCCGGACAACAGTTTCGAGATCCTGATCGACCAGACGGTGGTGAACAGCGGGAGTCTGCTGAGTGATGTCACTCCCGCCGTAAACCCCCCCGCCGAGATCGAGGACCCCGACGACCAGAAGCCGGAGGACTGGGACGAGAGACCCAAGATCCAGGACCCCGACGCGGCCAAGCCTGAGGACTGGTGTGTGTGTGTGTGTGTGTGTGTGTGCAGGTGATCCGTGTCTATGGACAATACCAGAGATTATTTATATAGAGACATGCCACTTCCACTTTGATTTCTATTTTCATTACTCTATGCCCCATATGCTGGCGTTATAAGCTAAACAGTTTTTAGAAATAAAACTCTTTACTTCCGATTATCATGAAAACAAATCTCAGAGAACGGTCGACTAGGCACCGATGTTTTATTAGACCAAAGGTTCATTGTTCGCCGGATTTCTCCTTTAAAGTGACGACAGCCTAATATTCCTATTGATGTGTGTCATTAATGTTCATAAAACAGCAAAACACAGCTTTAACAACTAGAAACTACATTTCATTTCTACAGTGAAATACTACAAAATAGTGTTATTTTACATTCAGGCTGTTCCTGAATACTAATATTAGACTTTTAGTGTCATCTCTGCTTGTAATTTGTGTGTTTGTTCTTATTTCTGACTGTTTGCTTGTTTTAATAATGTTTGAACTATTAGTTAGGATAGCAGTTATTGATGTGGTGTCACTTCAAGTGAGCTTTTAGTAATAAATGAAAAGCGAAGTTACACAAGATACATATATATGATTCAATCTGTAGCTCAAAAAACGTAGATGATCCGAGCCGTGATTCTGTGACCTGTTGCTCCACTAGTGTGAGTGTGTTGTGCTGTGGATCCACCTCCTCAATGTGTGTGTGTGTGTGTGTGTGTCAGGGATGAAGAGGCTCCTGCTAAGATCGCGGATGAGGACGCGGTGAAGCCCGACGGCTGGTTGGATGAGGAGCCAGAGTACATCAGTGACCCCGAGGCCCTGAAGCCGGAGGACTGGTAATGCAGCATCGCCACCACACACACACACACACACACACACACACACACACACACCGCTGTAATATTAATAAATATCATAGGTCTTATGCACAATTGCTAAAAATCTAACAAAACTTAATACTTGTTTGTTCTGTCAAAATATTACTTTTCCCGGCTCTGGAGAAAACTGATATAAACAATTAAATATTGCTATTTTTATTTTAATTATTATTAAAAAGTGCCTTTTTTAGTGTTGTGAATATATTAAAATAAAATATTTAATACAATTTATTGAAAAGTTGGATATGTAGTACCAGTGCACTCTCGTAAAGCAATACTATTTGACAAATTGTTAAACATTTTCATTTTGTTACAAAATTTGAATATTATCGGCCAGAACTTTATATGAAGATGTATATACATGTGTCCAACTTATCCACATACGTACAGATGTATATATATATATATATATATATATTAGGGCTGTCAAACGATTAATCGCGATTAATCGCATCCAAAATAAAAATTTGTGTTTACATAATATGTGTGGGTGCACTGTGTATAATTATTTTAAATATATATAAATACACATACATGCATGTATATTTAAGAAAAAAATATTATTTATGTATAAAATATTTATATTTACATGTCATATAAATTATATATAAATCTATGTACAGTATATACTTGAAAATATTTCTTAAACATACAAGGATGTGTGTGCATTTATATATTTAAAATAATTATACACAGTGCACCCACACATATTATGTAAACACAAACTTTTATTTTGGATGCGATGAATCGCGATTAATCGTTTGACAGCCCTAATATATATATATATATATATATATATATATATATATATATATATATATATATATATATATATATATATATATATATGGTGTGCATAGATTTGTTTGTAGTTTAGTGTTTTGTGTTGCTTTTCTTATGTGACTGCGGTAGAGCGTTTAATAGCTCTAGAAGAACAACAATCCTATGTGAACCTTGACATTTATTTAGTTTTTCTTCCCATTTTAGTCAACCCAATATTATATAACTGATGTCCTTTAAGCTGACTACAATCATAATGTGCAATCAATACAACAATAGGAACAAAAACGCAAATTACAAAAAATGGGACAAATACATTAAATACATTATATTTATATATATATATATATATATATATATATATATGAAGAGTTCAGATGCAAAAGCCTCTAAGTGCCATTTGAAATTTTCTTCTAGAATGATCATTTTTATCAGCTTATATATTTAAGTTCAGTAATTTCACTTGAATGGCAATGATAATTACCTATTAATTGCCATTTAAGTGAAATTACTGAACTTAAATATACAAGTTTGATAAAAATGATCATTCTAGAAGAAAATTTCAAATGGCACTTAGAGGCTTTTGCATCTGAACTCTTCATATATATATATATACACACATGTATTAAACTCCGTTTTTCAGGTATATACACATGTATTAAACTCATGTTAAACCTACTCTACTGTACCTGAAAAACTGTGGTAAGAAATTGTACCAAAACTGAATAATCAAATGTAGAATTAGACACTATAGTCTTCCCTGTATGAATTAAATATACATTGAGTGATATTAAAGATATAAAAGTGATTGAGTCAATAGCAGTGAGTGTTTGGTGAAAGTGAAGGCCACAGTTTGAGGCTGCTGTCCCTTTAAGAATGAATGCACAGATCTAATATACTGATATCCTCCATTTATCTTCATTAGTAGGACACACACACACACTCTGTTTACACTGAATACTCCACATAACTTGGACATAACCGTGTGTGTAGTAATGAATCATATGTGAGACGGCGTCTATGAATAACTAAGAAACCTGTGACGAGAAGTGTAACGCTTTAGAAAAAAGATTTTTTTTTTAAATTTGTGAATTGATATAATTCGGTAGAAGAGAGAATCGCGACTCATGTATGAAACCCCTAATATAGGCTCAAAGATCTATAGGCCAGTCTCTCGTTTGAAAGTCGCGTGTCTAGTTTCTGTAGAAGCGCATCTTATAATGATAGCCTTGAGCAGGAGATGTGACCCGAGCTCGTGTGGTTCCTCAGGGACGAGGACATGGACGGCGAGTGGGAAGCGCCGCAGATCCCCAACCCCGTGTGCGAGACGGCGCCCGGGTGCGGCCCGTGGGAGCGGCCCATGATCGACAACCCCAACTACAAGGGCAAGTGGAAGCCGCCCATGATCGACAACCCCAACTATCAGGTGATTGTCATCATACAGCATCGCACACGCCTCGACGCGCCGCCGACGCTCTGATGTTTCTCAAACATCAGATATATGATTAAAGATTAACAGAAAATGCTGAATGTGAATTGTGTTTGGGACAGGAAACATCGTTATAAATTGTGTTTGGGACAGGAAACATCATTATAAAGTGTGTTTGGGACAGGAAACATCGTTATAAAGTGTGTTTGGTACAGGAAACATCGTTATAAATTGTGTTTGGGACAGGAAACATCATTATAAAGTGTGTTTGGGACAGGAAACATCATTATAAAGTGTGTTTGGGACAGGAAACATCGTTATAAAGTGTGTTTGGGACAGGAAACATCGTTATAAATTGTGTTTGGGACAGGAAACATCATTATAAAGTGTGTTTGGGACGGGAAACATCGTTATAAAGTGTGTTTGGGACAGAAAACATCGTTATAAATTGTGTTTGGGACAGGAAACATCATTATAAAGTGTGTTTGGGACAGGAAACATCATTATAAAGTGTGTTTGGGACAGGAAACATCATTATAAAGTGCGTTTGGGACAGGAAACATCGTTATAAAGTGCGTTTGGGACGGGAAACATCGTTATAAATTGTGTTTGGGACAGGAAACATCGTTATAAATTGTGTTTGGGACAGGAAGCATCGTTATAAAGTGCGTTTGGGACAGGAAACATCGTTATAAAGTGCGTTTGGGACAGGAAACATCGTTATAAAGTGTGTTTGGGACAGGAAGCATCGTTATAAAGTGCGTTTGGGACAGGAAACATCGTTATAAAGTGCGTTTGGGACAGGAAACATCGTTATAAAGTGCGTTTGGGACAGGAAACATCGTTATAAAGTGCGTTTGGGACAGGAAACATCGTTATAAAGTGCGTTTGGGACAGGAAACATCATTATAAAGTGTGTTTGGGACAGGAAACATCGTTATAAAGTGTGTTTGGGACAGGAAACATCATTATAAAGTGTGTTTGGGACAGGAAACATCGTTATAAAGTGTGTTTGGGACAGGAAACATCATTATAAAGTGTGTTTGGGACAGGAAACATCATTATAAAGTGTGTTTGGGACAGGAAACATCGTTATAAAGTGTGTTTGGGACAGGAAACATCATTATAAAGTGTGTTTGGGACAGGAAACATCATTATAAAGTGCGTTTGGGACAGGAAACATCGTTATAAATTGTGTTTGGGACAGGAAGCATCATTATAAAGTGTGTTTGGGACAGGAAGCATCGTTATAAAGTGTGTTTGGGACAGGAAACATCATTATAAAGTGCGTTTGGGACAGGAAACATCGTTATAAAGTGTGTTTGGGACAGGAAACATCATTATAAAGTGTGTTTGGGACAGGAAACATCATTATAAAGTGCGTTTGGGACAGGAAACATCGTTATAAATTGTGTTTGGGACAGGAAACATCATTATAAAGTGCGTTTGGGACAGGAAACATCATTATAAAGTGCGTTTGGGACAGGAAACATCATTATAAAGTGTGTTTGGGACAGGAAACATCATTATAAAGTGTGTTTGGGACAGGAAACATCATTATAAAGTGTGTTTGGGACAGGAAACATCATTATAAAGTGTGTTTGGGACGGGAAACATCGTTATAAAGTGTGTTTGGGACAGGAAACATCGTTATAAATTGTGTTTGGGACAGGAAACATCATTATAAAGTGTGTTTGGGACAGGAAACATCATTATAAAGTGTGTTTGGGACAGGAAACATCATTATAAAGTGTGTTTGGGACAGGAAACATCGTTGTAAATTGTGTTTGGGACAGGAAACATCATTATAAAGTGTGTTTGGGACAGGAAGCATCATTATAAAGTGTGTTTGGGACAGGAAACATCGTTATAAAGTGCGTTTGGGACGGGAAACATCGTTATAAATTGTGTTTGGGACAGGAAACATCGTTATAAATTGTGTTTGGGACAGGAAACATCATTATAAAGTGTGTTTGGGACAGGAAACATCGTTATAAATTGTGTTTGGGACAGGAAACATCATTATAAAGTGTGTTTGGGACAGGAAACATCATTATAAAGTGCGTTTGGGACAGGAAACATCGTTATAAAGTGCGTTTGGGACGGGAAACATCGTTATAAATTGTGTTTGGGACAGGAAACATCGTTATAAATTGTGTTTGGGACAGGAAACATCATTATAAAGTGTGTTTGGGACAGGAAGCATCATTATAAAGTGTGTTTGGGACAGGAAGCATCGTTATAAAGTGAGTTTGGGACAGGAAACATCATTATAAAGTGCGTTTGGGACAGGAAACATCGTTATAAAGTGTGTTTGGGACAGGAAACATCGTTATAAATTGTGTTTGGGACAGGAAACATCATTATAAAGTGTGTTTGGGACAGGAAACATCATTATAAAGTGTGTTTGGGACAGGAAACATCATTATAAAGTGTGTTTGGGACAGGAAACATCATTATAAAGTGTGTTTGGGACGGGAAACATCGTTATAAATTGTGTTTGGGACAGGAAACATCTTTATAAAGTGTGTTTGGGACAGGAAACATCGTTATAAAGTGTGTTTGGGACAGGAAACATCGTTATAAAGTGTGTTTGGGACAGGAAACATCTTTATAAAGTGTGTTTGGGACGGGAAACATCGTTATAAAGTGTGTTTGGCACGGGAAACATCGTTATAAAGTATGTTTGGGACGGGAAACATCATTATAAAGTGTGTTTGGGACAGGACACATCGTTATAAAGTGTGTTTGGGACAGGAAACATCGTTATAAAGTGTGTTTGGGACGGGAAACATCATTATAAAGTGTGTTTGGGACAGGAAACATCGTTATAAAGTGTGTTTGGGACAGGAAACATCGTTATAAAGTGTGTTTGGGACGGGAAACATCGTTATAAAGTGTGTTTGGGACGGGAAACATCGTTATAAAGTGTGTTTGGCACGGGAAACATCGTTATAAAGTGTGTTTGGGACGGGAAACATCATTATAAAGTGTGTTTGGGACAGGAAACATCATTATAAAGTGTGTTTGGGACGGGAAACATCATTATAAAGTGTGTTTGGGACAGGAAACATCATTATAAAGTGTGTTTGGGACGGGAAACATCATTATAAAGTGTGTTTGGGACGGGAAACATCGTTATAAAGTGTGTTTGGGACGGGAAACATCGTTATAAAGTGTGTTTGGGACGGGAAACATCATTATAAAGTGTGTTTGGGACAGGAAACATCATTATAAAGTGTGTTTGGGACGGGAAACATCATTATAAAGTGTGTTTGGGACAGGAAACATCGTTATAAAGTGTGTTTGGGACAGGAAACATCATTATAAAGTGTGTTTGGGACGGGAAACATCATTATAAAGTGTGTTTGGGACAGGAAACATCTTTATAAAGTGTGTTTGGGACAGGAAACTTCGTTATAAAGTGTGTTTGGGACGGGAAACATCTTTATAAAGTGTGTTTGGGACAGGAAACTTCGTTATAAAGTGTGTTTGGCACAGGAAACGTCGTTATGAAGTGTGTTTGGGACAGGAAACATCTTTATAAAGTGTGTTTGGGACAGGAAACATCGTTATAAAGCGTGTTTGGGACGGGAAACATCTTTATAAAGTGTGTTTGGGACAGGAAACATCGTTATAAAGTGTGTTTGGGACAGGAAACATCGTTATAAAGTGTGTTTGGGACAGGAAACATCGTTATAAATTGTGTTTGGGACAGGAAACATCGTTATAAAGTATGTTTGGGACAGGAAACATCGTTATAAATTGTGTTTGGGACAGGAAACATCGTTATAAAGTGTGTTTGGGACAGGAAACATCGTTATAAAGTGTGTTTGGGACAGGAAGCATTGTTATAAAGTGTGTTTGGGACAGGAAACATCGTTATAAATTGTGTTTGGGACGGGAAACATCGTTATAAAGTGTGTTTGGGACAGGAAACATCGTTATAAATTGTGTTTGGGACAGGAAACATCGTTATAAATTGTGTTTGGGACAGGAAACATCATTATAAAGTGTGTTTGGCACAGGAAACATCGTTATAAAGTGTGTTTGGGACAGGAAACATCGTTATAAAGTGTGTTTGGCACAGGAAACATCGTTATAAAGTGTGTTTGGGACAGGAAACATCGTTATAAAGTGTGTTTGGCACAGGAAACATCGTTATAAAGTGTGTTTGGGACAGGAAACATCATTATAAAGTGTGTTTGGCACAGGAAACATCGTTATAAAGTGTGTTTGGGACAGGAAACATCGTTATAAAGTGTGTTTGGCACAGGAAACATCGTTATAAAGTGTGTTTGGGACAGGAAACATCGTTATAAATTGTGTTTGGGACAGGAAACATCGTTATAAATTGTGTTTGGGACAGGAAACATCATTATAAAGTGTGTTTGGCACAGGAAACATCGTTATAAAGTGTGTTTGGGACAGGAAACATCGTTATAAAGTGTGTTTGGCACAGGAAACATCGTTATAAAGTGTGTTTGGGACAGGAAACATCATTATAAAGTGTGTTTGGCACAGGAAACATCGTTATAAAGTGTGTTTGGGACAGGAAACATCGTTATAAAGTGTGTTTGGCACAGGAAACATCGTTATAAAGTGTGTTTGGGACAGGAAACATCGTTATAAAGTGTGTTAGGGACAGGAAACATCGTTATAAAGTGTGTTAGGGACAGGGTTTTAATGGTGACTCTTGTTTTTGTGGTCAGGCTCTGAGAAATGGGATCAGATTCATGTTTATCTGCCGATATATCGGTTATCGGCTTTAAATATGAAGAGTTATCGGTTTCGGCCAAAGTGTTCAAATCATTGCTATTTAATAGAGAGTGTTGCATGATGAATCCTTATAAAACCACAGCTCTAACCCTGAGTGTGTGTGTGTGTGTGTGTGTCAGGGTGTGTGGAAGCCCAGGAAGATCCCGAACCCGGACTTCTTCGAGGACCTGCACCCGTTCCGCATGAGTGCGTTCAGTGCCGTGGGGCTGGAGCTCTGGTCCATGTCCTCCGACATCTTCTTCGACAACTTCTTCATCAGCTCGGACCGCAGCGTGGCGGACCGCTGGGCCAACGACGGCTGGGGCCTGAAGAAGGCTGCCGAGGGGGCGGCCGAGGTAAACCCCTCTCTCTCTCTCTCTCTCTCGTGTGTGTGCGCGTTTGAGGCGAGTGAGGACAGAGTTTTTCTTTTTGGGTTTAAATATCAATGTCTCCATCAGACCAATAGAGTGCCGAAGTTACGACGTCACTCGGTAGGCCGAAACGCGGAAGTGAGTTAGCATTTTAGCATTACGGTTCCCTCGCTCTAAAGTCTGGGATTTTTGAATGGGTTTTTGCTAAATCTCCTGAAATAAGGTCTGTGGTGAACAAAGCCTCTAAATATCTTCACGTTTTGATCTCTGACACAGAACACACAGTTATAACCTGCTTGTGTTTTATTAAACTTTATTGTGTCTGATTGTGTTCATTTAAAATCTTTATATAGGCTTCAAAATGTATAAATTTTGGATTAATATGTAAAGATTATCTTGATAGACAAAACGTGTAAGGGTCACAACACAGATCTTATTTTTTGCGGGGAAAACGCATTGCTTTTCGGCCGAGGGAACCCATGCGCCGCTAGCTTCCGGGTCGTCCTACAGAGTGATGTCATCACTTCGGCACAGCAGAGATTTAGCGTTTGAATTGCAGCATATGGTAGAAAAAGTGACGTTTCCTTTAAAAAATGATTATTAATACTTTGAACACTGTACAATATTAGTATTAGTATCAGCAGACGCTAGTCCATGTCATGATTTGTTTAAAAGCACAGTCATATTCCCGTTTTATTCGAGTTATTCCCTCTAAACTCCATTGAGTGATTCCAGGATTCTGTCCTGGTTTTCCTCTGTGGGAATGGTGAAGCTCTTCGTGGGGTGTAGAGTCACATGACTGATCCACACATGAGCGAGGGTCACATGGGCATGGCTCCGCGAGCGCAGTGTATGCTGGGATTAGCCGGATTTGATGAGAATTCCTCCGGTGCAGATGCCTTCTCCCCAAAGCCGCCCCCCAGCATGCCTTGCGTGTAAACTTCGAGGCGGCTCGCACAACAATACACACTCTCTTTAATAATCCTCACGTTTGACACCAGGAATTCACACAGGAATGTTTCGTTTAGGCTTTTAGTCACTTGTACAAATCGATCCGTGCACATAAAGCATGTCACATGGTGAACCAGCGAGGTGTGTGTGTCCGCGTCAGAAACCCTGAACCAGACACTGATTATTGTCCATGCGCGTAAGTAACGTGTGTGTGTGTGTGTGTGTGTGTGTTGACAGCCGGGTCTGATGACTCAGATGATCACGGCTGCTGAAGAGAGGCCGTGGCTCTGGATCGTGTACGTCCTCACCGTGGCTCTGCCTGTGGTGCTCATCATCGTCTTCTGCTGCACTGGGAAGGTGTGTGTGTGTGCGCGTGTGCACGTGTGTGACCCGAGTGTTGACCTGTGAGGTAACTGTGTTCCTGTGTCTCGCAGAAGAGCCCGGCGTCCGCCGCTGCTGAATACAAGAAGACCGACGAGCCTCAGCCGGACGTGAAGGATGAAGACGAGGAGGAGGAGGCCAAGGAGGAAGAGCCAGGTCTGACACACACACACACACATCACTTCACTGTTAAAGGTGCAGTGTGTGATGTTTAGTGGCATCTAGTGGTGAGGTTGTGAATTGCAGCCGGCCGACAGGAAGTGACGTCGTCGCCTGAGAGAGTCTCGCCAGATTCTTTATAAAGATAAATTAATAAATTGTTTACTTAATTATTCAGTGAAATGATGTTATTGAAAATATTGTGACTTGTTCATAACTGTGTCAGTGTTTTACTCGCTGACTTTAGCAGCTTCTCATCATGAAGGAAGAACAGTGATAAAACGCATGTGTCCGTTCAGGGCCACCGTAGAAACACAGTGTGTGTAGAGAGAAACGCCTCATTCTAATCTACAGGGCTGTAGTCGACCAAAGAAATCCTCAGTCTTTCCTGCGCAACGATTAGTCGACTAAAAAAAAAGAGAAAAAGACGGGATGTTTTGACTGAACATTTTTTAACAATTGTCAGAGCATTTATAAAACAACAACGAAAAACATCAAAAATACATAAAACTATAATAATAATACAATTCTTTGCAAATGAACTGATTTTTTAACTGCAAACTGAGGAGCTCTGTCCTGGGTCTGTCCTGACGGTCGCAATCGCGCACCTGACCACACCACACGCTACAAACATATAACCGCTACATGTTTATAACAAAAGCTCTCGTTTATACAGGCTGTATTTTCTCCTTTACTTTCGTCCAGCCGATCTAGGCGTTTTAGAACAAACACGCAAAACCCAAAAAGCCTAAAAAACAATCCGAATAATAATAGTCTGTATTGTAGTAATGTGTATAGGTTTATTTTCGGTTTGTTTCATTATTCAGGCAATTTTCAAATGTGTTGTGTACAAATAAAAACAAACATATCAAGAAAACACAATCTATTGAGTCCGCATGATAAAGCCGTTAAAGAAACTGCTCACGTCTTTTGTGCGCTCGAGGTCGATTCAAATGTAGGGGCGCGGGGTGTGCGCTCAGAATAGAGCAACGCGGGCGTGGTGCGACGTGTTTTTTTTCCCAAGTGCGTCCACGCTGCATCGAGATAAAAACATAATGTATAAAAACCAAAACAAGTAGCGTTCTAACTGAATGAATACAAGTAAACTATATCGCTTACTGAGCGCGCAGCCGGCCACAGGCGCGTTCCCGAGTGTATTATGTGTGTGTGCGCTAAACTGTGGCGCTGTTACAAAAATAGCCTAAAAGTTGGGGATATAACATAGGCTAGGTTAGAACACAGTTATATATATATATATGCTTATAAAGGAATAAATATTAAGGAGTAAATCATTAAAGAGCCCCTATCATAGCGTTTGAAATGTTCCTATTTTAGTTTTAGGAGTTCCCAAAAACTATTTAACATGCATGCAAGGATAAACACTTTATTTGTCTTATAATATGTATTTATTTTAACTGATTTGCTCACCGTCTCCCAAATGATTCGTACAACGACTCATTTTTCCGAACCACTCCTTTGCGTGACGCTAATCGGCGGTGATTGGTCAGATGACCCAGTCAGTTATTGTTTGTTAGCATAAACATATTGATAAAGCACTGCAGTACTACAAGACGCTCTATTCTTTATGACAACTCCAATAACAGCGACAAACATTTCACATATTTAAAAAAAAATGACATTGGAGACCTAGAAGCTGCGCTGAGCGTAACTTACACACACACACACACACAGATACACGCGCACACACATACTGCCTCGCGCCCCGACGCGACAAAACCGTTCAAAACCCATAAAAGCAACAATTATTAATAATACTTACAGGTTGAGATTCGAAGGAGGAAGCTGATCCATATACACTGGGTAAGTGAGTTACTGAGCCCTCCTTCAGGAACAACCGCTTGCGAATCCACATTTGAATTGATTTATGTTTTTGAACGATTCGTCAATGAAATGATAAACTCTAACCACCGATTCTTCACATGCTCGTCCCTGGACAATGGAAACAAAGTGGCTGAACTATCTTTGCATCGTAGAACAGCGTCTTCTCCACATGATGCTATGATGAAGTATTTGTGTGTGTAGACTTCAATTTTACCCTTCCGTCGGCCAATGACCTCTCTACGTCACGATGTAACAGCTAATGACTCGTTTCAAAAACAATTCATTTCATAGACTCAGAGTCGACTCTCACTTTTGAAAGATAATAACTTTATATACGGGGAACTTTCGGATATAAATCTTTGCAGGATGTGTTCATTCCCTTAGAGTTATAGTCCACACCATATGAACAGTCATTTTCAAAAATCCATGATAGGGGCTCTTTAAAAAAATTCTTTCTATTGGTTAAAAAAAATGCAACTGGTCGACCAATAAGAACGTCAGTCGACCAAGACGGCATCGCCCAAATAGTCAACTTACTAAATGACTAAAGTTGACAGCCCTACTAATCTACATACAAACATAACGCTTCATGGTTTAAGGTGTTTACACACCACTGAACACAGTCACGTCTGTCTGCTAAACATCACACACTGCAGCGTTTATCTCTTCATCTGCTCGTGTGAGCGCTCACAGTACCCGCATCACACTCTTCCTCGTCTCTCGGACCTCATGGAGGACTGAACTGAGTGTGTGTGTGTGTGTGTGTTTCTCAGAAGAGAAGAAGAGTGAAGAAGAGGAGGACTCGCCAGGAGAAGCGGAGGAGGAGGCCGAGGGCGAGCACAAAGACAACAGCACATCTCACGAGGTAAAACACACACACACACACACACACGCTCTTCAACATGTGAACGGCTCGTTTAACCCTGTAAAGCTTGACATGTGAAATAATGATTTATGTATTGCATTCACATGCGTTAGTCTAGTCCCATTACGACCTCGAGTGTGTGTGTGTAGCCAACGATCGATCTCACACATCATATTTTACACTCATGTCTGGATAATCAAGTCAATATAAGTAGCTTTGTTCACTACATCCTCAAATAACATCACTAACGTGTGTGTGTGTGTTGCAGAAATCTGAGGACGACGTTCTGAGAAGGTCTCCCAGAAACAGGAGAGCACGGAAGGACTGATGGACTTCCTGAATCCGTCTCCAGTGTGAAAGTTCCCCTTCCTCATCCTCCTCTTCATCCCTCGCTGCGAGAGAAGCCGGCGCTCACAGCCAATCACACGCCTCCTCAAGCGCTCTTGAGGACGCTGACGGTCACATGACCGTCCAATAGCATAGAAACTTTCTCCGTAACTAAAAAGGAAACGCAATCTTTGTTACCATTCCTGAACTGATCATCTGACGCTCCCATTCCCCCTCTCGGCTCTCACACACACACACACTTCCAGACAGTGTTCCTGAACCCAAACACTAAGGCACTCTTGCCTCAGTTCTAGAATTACTCCAGAAGCCATAGGAGGACGAGACCATCACACACACACACACACCTAGATTTCCCATAAACCAGATGTTTTCTGTCCTGAGTGAGGCATGCTGGGAGACCGCCAGCTAGATCCGTAGCTTCTAGTGTACTGCCTTACTGTAGGACACGAGATCTGCTAATATTTCTTTGTGAATGTACTGTGAGTTGTTTGTCTAATACGTTGTTTTTTTTCAACTGTTTTTGCTATTCAAATGGAGTTTTTACTAAATCATGGATCGCTGTACAGACGTGTTTTCTGCTTCTAACCTGTCCAGCCCAGAGAGCCAGGTCAGCGGACTGTGATGTCATATCCTGTCCAGCAGCAGCAGCTTCCAATCACGATCACACAGGACCAGGTGTCCGTTTAATGGCAGTTTGAGGGTGAATCTCACGAACGGCACGCTTCGGCCCGACGGCGAGCGATGGTTCTGTTGGGCCGTAGCGAGGCGTGCGCTGAGATTCGCTCCTGATTGGCTCTGGTTGCTGGTAAATGTCACTCAGAGAAAGCGTGACCGATGTCCCGGGCGTAAAGCCGTTCACTTCGACTCCGCCCCTAAACCCTACGAGAAAGGCACTATGAGGGATCTGAAGTGAACTAGCGCGCGACGCTAGCGCTCTTGAAGTTGCTTGTTTATACTCTCAGTACGGCGGACTGTGGCATGGACAGCGCCGTACGTGACCTCTACCCTGAGACTGATGAAGAGTGGCACTTTCTGAGGTAACTGAAGGACAACACACACACACGCTAATATCTGCTGCGCTGGCGTGACACGCGTCCCGTCTGCCTGTGACCTGTGACCTGGGCTGCTTTTCTTTCTTTTGTTTTCTTTGTCTCTTGGGTTACCTTTGTCTCACGTGTAGGTGAATGATAGAAGATGGAGAACCCAGAGTGTGTGATTATCTGGCGTCTGGATGATGATGATTCTGGACGGGTTGGGAAAGTCCATCATGTTACTCACAAACTAAAATAAACTGATTTGATGAACGACAGGTGTGTGTGTGTTTGTGTGTTTACGTGTTTACATGTTTACATCTGACGATGCTTCTGCAGCTACACTTTCATTTAAGGTCCTCTTGGGTAACGCTTTATTTTACGGTCCGTGTCCACGTTACATGTGTGTACGGAGGCGTATTGCATTCACTTGAAGAAAAAAAAAACTACTGTTTTTCTGAATTAATGAGTTAATTTTTCATTAGAAATTTTTTTTGCTCTGTTTTTCTGAATTAACGAGTTAATTTTTCATGAGAAAAAAAGTTTTTCTCTGTTTTTCTGAATTAATGAGTTAATTTTTCATGAGAATTTTTTTGCTCTGTTTTTCTGAATTAATGAGTTAATTTTTCATGGAATTTTTTTTTTTGCTCTGATTTTCTGAATTAATGAGTTAATTTTTCGTGAGAAAAAAAGTTTTTGCTGTTTTTTCTGAATTAACTCGTTAATTCAGAAAAACAGAGCAAAAAAAAATTCCATGAAAAATTAACTCATTAATTCAGAAAAACAGAGCAAAAAAAAAAATTCCATGAAAAATTAACTCATTAATTCAGAAAAACAGAGCAAAAAAAAAAAAAGTTCCATGAAAAATTAACTCATTAATTCAGAAAAACAGAGCAAAAAAAAAAAAAAATTCCATGAAAAATTAACTCGTTCATTCAGAAAAACAGAGTAGATTTTTTTTTTCTTCAAGTGAATGCAATACGCCTCCGTACATGTGCTTCCTGTGGTAATAACAGTAAATGAATAACCCCTCAGCCTAACCCTACAGTACGAGCACAGGTGATTAATGTATAATTATTACACTGTAACAGTGACACCTCAAGTGTAACTGATGTTATTAGTGTGATTATGTTTACGGAGTAAAAGTGTGTCCTTACTGTAGGATTTAATAAACTTTATATAATATATAGTTATTACAGTAGGAACTACATGGAGGACACCGTAAACTAGTCTTTCTAAAGTTTAATATTATATTATTTTAATATATTAAGAGGAATTTCCCCCTCTTTTGAATTTAGTCTCTCACTCACACACACTCTGTCACAATCTCACTCACACAGATTTACTCACATTCTCTCACAGTCTCACTCTCACACACACTCAATTAAAATTTTCAATTTCAATTCAATATAGCTTTATTAGCATGACTGTGTAACACAATGTTGCCAAAGCATAAACATATGATATATAAATAATAGAACAAACAACATATTATGCATATATACACTTTCTCACAGTCTCACTCTCTCTGTCACACACACTCACACAGAATCACTCACATTCTCTCGCACACTCAGTTTCTCTCACACACAGTCACACAATGAGGTTTATATAGATTAAATATGGCGTAAGAGGACCATTTTTGGCAGCATATAAAAATGGTGTAAATAGGACTGTTTAATAATTGTTTAATTTTCATGTGCTTTTGTTTTGGTTGTATTCCACTGATGGGGACTAGTGGCGGAGTGTGTAATTGCAAAAGTGATTACGGAAAAATGTGGTGATGTACTCTGATGTTTTGACTGTTGAACAATAAAAACAAGTTGAATTACAAAAAAAATAATAAAAAGAGTTCAGGGTTGGCCACTCACTCACTCACTCTCCCTCTCTGTCTGTCTGTCTCTCACTCACTCTCCCTCTCTGTCTCTCTCTCTCTCTCTCTCTCTCTGTCTCTCTCTCTCTCTCTATCTGTATCTGTAGTTGATCTGAGGACAGTGGAAAGCCCGTATCTCTCGGAGCGCTGTGTGGAAACTGATGTCATGGAGGACTGGATGGGGTTATAAATATCCCTCTGAGATGCGAATCGCTGATCTCAGCAGTTATTGGCTTTAGAGGAAGAGCTATTTCTGGACGTCAGTTGCATAACTCAGATTTACCCGAATAGAGCAGCACTGGGTCATCATCACACCGAGACTGCAGACGCTTCCGGTTCCTGCGCTCATCTGTGTTCATCTCACATTATACAGGGAATATCCCAGTCCCATATTTTACAGTCCCACCCCAGTCCCATCCCTGTCCCACCCCAGTCCCATTCCAGTCCCATCCCAGTTCTGTCCCCATCCCAGTCCCATCTGAGTCCCATACCATTCCAGTCACATCTGAGTCCCATCCCCGTCCCACCCCAGTCCCGTCCCATTCCAGTCCCATCCTTGTCCCATTCCAGTCCCATCCCCGTCCCGTGCTCGTCCCATCCCCGTCCCACCCCAGTCCCGTCCCATTCCAGTCCCATCCTTGTCCCATTCCAGTCCCATCCCCGTCCCGTGCTCGTCCCATCCCAGTCCCATCCCAGTGCCATCCCTGTCCCACCCCAGTGCCATCCCCTGTCCCACCCCGTCCCACCCCAGTCCCATCGGAGTCCCACCCCAGTCCCATCCCAGTCCCACCCCAGTTCCACCCCAGTTCCACCCCAGTCCCATCTGAGTCCCACCCCAGTCCCACCCCAGTCCCATCCCCGTCCCACCCCAGTCCCATTCCAGTCCCATCCCAATCCCATCTGAGTCCCATCCCAGTGCCATCCCAGTCCCATCCCAGTCCCATCCCAGTGCCATCCCTGTCCCACCCTGTCCCATCCCCGTCCCACCCCAGTCCCATCGGAGTCCCACCCCAGTCCCATCCCATCCCAGTCCCATCCCAGTCCCATCTGAGTCCCATCTGAGTCCCATCCCAGTCCCATTCCAGTGCCACCCCAGTCCCATTTCAGTCCCATCCCAATCCCATATGAGTCCCATCCCAGTGCCATCCCCGTCCCTTCCCGTCCCACCCCCGTTCCACCCCCGTTCCATCCCCATCACATCCCCATCACATCCCCGTCCCACCCCAGTCCCATCGGAGTCCCACCCCAGTCCCATCCCATTCCAGTCCCATCCCAGTCTCATCCCAGTCCCATCTCAGTCCCACCCCAGTCCCATCCTTGTCCCATTCCAGTCTCATCCCCGTCCCGTGCTCGTCCTATCCCCGTCCCATCCCAGTGCCATCCCCGTCCCACCCCGTCCCATCCCCGTCCCACCCCGTCCCTTCCGTCCCATCCCGTCCCATCCCCGTCCCACCCCAATCCCTTCGGAGTCCCACCCCAGTCCCATCCCATTCCAGTCCCATCGGAGTCCCACCCCAGTCCCATCCCATTCCAGTCCCATCGGAGTCCCACCCCAGTCCCATCCCATTCCAGTCCCATCGGAGTCCCACCCCAGTCCCATTCCAGTCCCATCCCCGTCCCACCCCAATCCCATCGGAGTCCCACCCCAGTTTCATCCCATTCCAGTCCCATCGGAGTCCCATCCCATTCCAGTCCCATCCCAGTTCCATTCCAATCCCATCTGAGTCCCATCCCAGTTCCATCCCCGTCACAACCCCCTCCCACCCCCGTCCCACCCCCGTCCCATCCCCGTCCGGACCCCGTCCCATCCCAGTCCTATCCCAGTCCCATCTGAGTCCCATCCCAGTCCCATTCCAGTGCCACCCCAGTCCCATTTCAGTCCCATCCCAATCCCATATGAGTCCCATCCCAGTGCCATCCCCGTCCCTTCCCGTCCCACCCCCGTTCCATCCCCATCACATCCCCATCACATCCCCGTCCCACCCCAGTCCCATCGGAGTCCCACCCCAGTCCCATCCCATTCCAGTCCCATCCCAGTCTCATCCCAGTCCCATCTCAGTCCCACCCCAGTCCCATCCTTGTCCCATTCCAGTCTCATCCCCGTCCCGTGCTCGTCCTATCCCCGTCCCATCCCAGTGCCATCCCCGTCCCACCCCGTCCCATCCCCGTCCCACCCCGTCCCTTCCGTCCCTTCCGTCCCATCCCGTCCCATCCCCGTCCCACCCCAATCCCTTCGGAGTCCCACCCCAGTCCCATCCCATTCCAGTCCCATCGGAGTCCCACCCCAGTCCCATCCCATTCCAGTCCCATCGGAGTCCCACCCCAGTCCCACCCCAGTCCCATCCCATTCCAGTCCCATCGGAGTCCCACCCCAGTCCCACCCCAGTCCCATTCCAGTCCCATCCCCGTCCCACCCCAATCCCATCGGAGTCCCACCCCAGTTTCATCCCATTCCAGTCCCATCGGAGTCCCATCCCATTCCAGTCCCATTCCAATCCCATCTGAGTCCCATCCCAGTTCCATCCCCGTCACAACCCCCTCCCACCCCCGTCCCATCCCCGTCCGGACCCCGTCCCATCCCAGTCCTATCCCAGTCCCATCTAAGTCCCACCCCAGTCCCATTCCAGTCCCATCCCAGTCCCATCCCCATCAGGTAATTGTGACTTTTTATCTCACAATTCTGAATTGTGAGCATCTTTACTTCTTTTGATCTTAGAATTGTGAGATAAAAAGCCGCAATAACTTTTTAAAATGTTTTATTCTGTGGCGGAAACAAGCTTCAATAAATATGTGCCATAACACTGTAAAAAAAAAAAAGTAGGCCTATTGTTGGTTTAATTAAAAAAAGCAAGTGACCTGGTTGCCTTCAAATTTTGAGTTCATTGAAATAAAATATTTGAGTTGACACGAAAAGAAACTCAAAATATTGTGTTACGCCTATTTGAACCACTTTAATTAACTAGCCTAAGTAAGTTTTTACAAAGGATCAAAAGTTGTGATAACAAATCATAAACATATATATATATATATATATATATATATATATATATATATATATATATTTTACAGTGAGGTATCTAAATGTAAATATAATAGCCTGATGAAACATTTGCTTTTTTTTTTTGGTAAATATTGGAAAAAATTCTCTGATGACTCGATGGAAATGTATAAATGTTCCAGTTCCAAGTAAGTTACCTGGCTTGCCTTGGTTGTATTTGAGTTAATACATGAGATTGGTTTAATAATACATAGAAACTCAAAATATTGTGTTATCTGAACCACATTCATTATTTAAGTTGATGTGACAAAATATAAAAAATTGTGATACCAAATCATGAAAATATACAATTTTACAGTGTATTGTCTGGACCTCCACTGGGAAGGAAATAAAAGGGAACTTTAATCGAATAATAAACCCTTCACAGACTATAGGCTAGTGGACGGAGAGGAACCTAGTAGGCCTACTTGAATATCAATATCATACGAATTTATAAATAAGTAGATGTTTAAATAGCCACATTTTCTGCCAAAATGCATTATAATAGTCGTTGCTAGGCTACTGTAAAATCCTAATCGTGGTTAAAAACATCTTTTCGATTTAAAATAATCTAGGCTGCATTATTTCCCACAATTGAAAACTCAAAGTGTTGTGTTGAGTAAGGTGTGTGAGAACAATAAGGCATATCGCATGTGCAGAGGAATGCTGGAGTGTTGGTGCGAGTGTCCAGCGATTGCTCGGGTGACCTGTCACTCACAGCGCGCGCATAAAAAAACTGAGGAAAAAAGAAAAAACATAGTTACAAGATGGCGACCAGCTACTGCCTGAAGACTGGAAAACAATAGACACAGCGCAGCAGGGACGAGTTTATTCCCTCGCCGTCCGCTTTCTCGTGTCCGTGTCGAGCTCAACCGGAGCACACGAGTCGGTTGTGTGTACTTCAAGACTTTTAACGCGCTTTTGAAAGAAAGTGAGTTTATAATGCTTTGTTCTAGGGCTAGTTAGCATTCAGGCTAAGCTACATCCGTAGCTGTAATGTAACTGTGAGGATCAGCTGTTAGCCGCGCTGCTACTTTAAAAGTTACTTTTACTACTAAAACTCGCTTGTAACTCTCCAAGTTGGTGTTTTTGGGCTGAATGGATGTAACGTACACGGTTTTAAACACCCTTTTCTAACCTTTCGTCGATGGGGTTTTATCTCAAGTGCGTCTTTTGTCAAACTTAAAAAAAAACGTTTCTTTTTAAGTTGTTTATTTTTTGTTGTTGCGCGATTTAACGACTTGTTGTGAACAAATAAGCTCAAACGTGAGGTAAATATTATTGTAAAGGGTTTAAATAGAAAGTCATCAAACTAAAACTTATGAGCCCTTTCAAACTTTCCTCTAAATTACATTCACGTCTAAACAAATGTAACTTCTAAAATGAAGAATTTATCAGTGTTTGTGAACTCTTTCATTCATAAAAACGCGGTGTTAAGTTGATTCTGTCTTGTGTCAGGACTCTAGACTAGTTTATACTTCAGTAATCGTGTAACGTTACAGTTAAAAGCAAACTTTACACACGTTATTTCTGGATATAGGCGCTCTCGTCTAAACTATGCGCCGAGTCTTTTGTTGTTTAAGGAGGCAGATAGTGAAGATAATGGAGTCAGTGGAGTGTGTTTTGTAAAGAGACTCTCGCGAACACGAACGGCACGATCAGTTTGAGAGTTGCTGCCAGTATCGAGACGCGTCGTGACGCGGATGATGGCGGATTATGTGGTGCCGCGGCACAACGCGGTGATGGAGCGGCTGCGGCGGCGCATCGAGCTCTTCCGCCGGCATCACACGGGCTGCGAGAACCGCTACCAGAGCAACGCGGTGGAGCGGCAGGAGATGGAGCGGCAGCAGACCTTCGCGTTGCACCAGCGGTGCCTGCAGACCAAGGCCAAGCGGTCGAGCAAGCACCGGCAGCCCGCGGCAGCGAACGCGGAGCCCGCGGGGCACCGAGGCACCAGCGCCGGGGGAGGCGCGGAGGAGCCCGGGGAGCAGAGCAGGAACAACACGCTGATCGCGGTGAGTGTGTGTGTAGAAGGGCTTGTGATGTTCCTGTGGGTCACATGACTAGGTTCAAATCTCATATGTGACCCTGGACCACAAAACCAGTCACATGTGTACATTTCTTCTCATCTTAAATCATCTGAAAGCATGAATTAAAAGCGTCCCATGGATGTTTTGTTAGGATATGACAATATTTGGTACAACTATTGAAGATCTGGATTTTTTTTTTTTTACAAAATATCTTAATGGAGCATTTACTGAATATCCCAATGATTTTGACATAAAATAAAAAATGGATCATTTTGACCCACTGGGCACTGGCTGGGGTCATGTGACCGTGACACGAGCACGCGCCCTGCACATGTCACATGTTGAGTGTGTGTGTGTGACACAGATGTTTTGAGAGATCAGTGAATGGTCACCTCGTGGCTGTGTTTGTTTGTTTTTCCACTTTCCAAACTCCTTCAAAGCATCCCGTTTCTAGAGTTCTGCTTTTGTGCAGATTCACTTTCAGTCCAGAAATAGTCAAGTGTGAACGTCATTGTGTTCGTTAGATAAATGATGAATAGTAGCAAGGAAAAAATGCACAATACTCCGCTCAAACAATCCTTTTGCGTTTATTTCTTATACTTAACATGTTGAATTTGTTAATATCATTTGACATGTTATTTTTTTTTTTTTTACTATTTCTCAGAATTGCATGTTATAAAGTCAGAATTGTAAGATATAAACGCGCAAATGCAAGAAATGAACTGACAATTCTGACTTTTTCTAAGTTATAAAGTCCAATTCTATGAAAAATACTTTTTTTCCCCTCAGAATTGCTACTTTATTTCACGCAATTCTGAGAAAACTAGTCAAATTGTGAGATGACAGCCTTATTTATCTAGTCTTCTGTCTGAGACGAGCTTCCACAGCTAGCTGATCTTACCCAGGGTGCCGCTCCACTGTTACACCTGATCTGGGGTCAGCGCTGTTCTTTAAAATCACCATCATCTCACAATTAATAATTCTAAATTATTAAAAAATAAAAAATAAAAAATTAAATTAAAAATTTTTAAAATAATTTAAAAATTGTAGAATGTTGCAGTTATGGCTCGACATTCACGGTTGTCGTAACACAACACAAAAATTACTATATTGTGGGAAATGATCGCGATGCTGATTGTGTTTGAAAAAAATAAAGGTTACAAATCGTGTGTTTTGGAGCAAAAACTGCTGGATTTTGTCAGGTGCATTGCTTATTATATTCTGAATATGTGGACTTATAATGCAGCTGCACGATTATCGTTAAAAGATTGTGATCTTGATTCAAACACGCACTTGATCTTATTCCTAAATGACAGCGATCCGTGTTCTGATCCATGTGTAGATATGAAACCGCTTCACTAATGCTCAACCTCACATTCATGATTCGGTCTTAATAGTTCAAATTATCACAGAAGCGCTGGGATAAAGGTTTATAGTTCAGATATAAATAGTGATGTCTTTGGTAGTGATTTAAATCACCTTATGAAAATAACTGGAGTCTTGCATCAAAGATTGCATCAATTACATCGTTACACCAGTAGGCGGTGACCAGCGACACGTGTACTGGTCGTTGAATCATCATTTATTCAAGAGATTGATTCATCCAGTAATGAATGAAGTGAACTCCTTATGAGTGAGTCATTGAATCATTCACTCAATCTAAATTGTTATTTTTAATTTATCCACAATTGTGCCGTTCTACCTCACAACTTTTAAACACGGTCAAGGTTGACGTAGCTGTCGTAGTGGGCGAGTTTCAGTCCAGCAATTAGCATACAACACTTTCTCCGATCCGACTCGTTCTCGCTGGACAGGATCAGGGGGTTCCCTCTTCCCAGATGAACATCACAGGAGGAAAGAGGAGGCACATGGCATTTCCACTTCCATTGTGTTGAGGATGCAGACGGTGTGTGCACACAATCATGTTAAAGAGTGCTAGATGTAGAGCGGTTCGTTTTCTGGTGGCGGGAATAAACCGATTGAGCCACAAGGATTCATTTCATTAACCGTTTGTTTGACTCGTGTCAGTGATAAACAAAGTGACTCGTACATGACGTACCTAAACACCTGACCTCATTAATATGAAGCAGGATGGTGTAGTGACTGACGAGTCCTGCCGCACGTGTGTCGAGGCGATCATTCACTCACTCGTTGTAGTTTTCTGTAGGAGTGAGTCTACACGCTCGGGTTTAGTCACTCTGAGGCCGTGGCTGTCATGCCAAACCTTGTGTGTGTGTGTGTGTGTTGCTCATATGAGCTCAAAAGGTTACAGGAACTGCTCTGTGAATGTGAATCTCAAGAGTGGACCTGGTTTCTAGACTACAGAAATAAATCTGGAAATGGAAAGCTTGATTCTTATAGATTCTTATTCTTTTTTTTTTTTTTTGTCATATAGGAGTGTAAAAGTGGTTTATCCACAAATGAAAATGTATATTTACTTCCCATTTGGCATCCAAACTTCATCAGATCTGGTGAACGCAGTGATGTGCTGTTTGTTCTTCAAGCTCATTTGACGATTGAGCTGCCGTTGGCCGTGTTTGATGTGCTCTATGTATGTGCTTCTACCAATATTTATATTAAATAAATAAATAAAAAGCCTAAATTAGGTCTGTTGTTCATATAAAGCGATCGTTTATCTTCAGAAGACTGATTAAACGGCTCAACTCTTATGGATTATACTGTTGAGGTCTTTATGGACTTTTTGAAGCATCAAAGTTTTGGATGAATGGACTGGTTTCAATTAAAAAATCTTTATCTAATAAGTCTTATGAGTTTGGAATGACACAAGGGTGAGTTAAAGGATGGCAGTTTTTTAATTTTTGGGTGAAACTATAATTTTAAGGCGGTTGACGCGACCCGCTAGGCTAGTGCCTTATTACATCACGTCCAGAACCAGCGGGTCATGAGCCAAAAGTAGGTTTAGACTGAAACGACAACATAAAAACATAATTTGAGATGTGTTTTTTTTATGCGATCCATGTATTGTGAGCGGTGTTTGTGAAAGCTGTTGATTCTTCTGTCAAACCCAGTATAAGAGGATTTCCCTGCCATTAAAGCTTGGATACACGTCTACGTCTCCTCCCATTAATAATAATCACTAGTGCGGCGGCTGGGATATACGTGAACCAACTAACATCAGTTGCCGTGATTTCTGGAGTGACTTATGGCAAGAGGAAAAAAATGACGTTTTAGTCGCATTACATCAGTTAATGGAAACGCCATTTCACAATCGTTTTTTATCGACATTTAGAAAATATTGCAATAGTTTCGCGTAAAGTATGTTATAGAAACGCAGCTACTCTTAACTGAGACTGTAAGGCCGTGTGTCCACCAAAGCGTTTTTAGCCAGCTAAACATGCCAGCTGAAGGCGCCTTGTTTTGGCAGCGCGGCGTTTTATTCTGTTGAGACGTTTCGTTGCTATGATGCAGAATATCCGCAGCACAGTTTGTATGTTGTGACAGTTGGTCTGTGTGATTTAGTCCCGCCCCTCCTCCACTGTGATTGGATGGTTGGGTAAAAAGTGACTGTGAGCGCTGCGTTTTATCCAAAGTTCAACATTTTTCAACTCTCGGCGACCAGTAAAAAAGCCCGGTGCTCGCGTGAAAAAAAAAAAACCGCTCAGCGCCTCGTTACGCTCATGGTGTTTAAAAAACGCGGTCTTCCCATTGAAAACAATTGAAAACATACGCCTGGTGCGTGGAAAAATGCTTTGGTGGACACACGGCCTAAGGGTATTGTAATATGTACTCTAAAATCATGTTCGCTTCCGTAGTTGATACCGATAACTAGGGCTGGGCGATATGGCCAAAAAAAATTATCACGATAATTTTTTTTATATCAGTCGATATCGATAATTATCACGATATATGTCAAATATTTATTTTTTTCAAGTTTAAAGGCAGATTTTTGCAACAAAGTTGTATAAACCAGAGTGTTAATTGTGTTTTTAAACTACTCTTTAAATTTATGTTCACTAACAAAAACAGTAACATCTGTTTTTTTTCCTTTTTTTTTCTTATGTAACAACCACATTTTTATTTGGTAAAAAGTAATATTCTGACTGTTTGAGTTGCATTCAAATTAACCATTGGTCATTCAGTATCATGCATTTAGATCATGATAACCACAGATAAAACCAGGTATAGCCTATAACTTAGCTCCTCACTATCATGGCATAACTTTGTTTTCTGTATTTTTTGAATGAAAAACAATAGCCTGACAGCTAAATACATTATTAAATACTGTACTTGTATTCCATTAGTCATAATACATTGTCAACATTAATAATATTATACAATTCAATATGTATATCCCACATTTCATGGTGCAGTTAATATTACCAGGCTAACCTTACAGTAAATCCTTGGGAAGCTAAATGGATTCAGTATCAATTCAGATTCTGACTGTATCGTTGCACGCAGTGTTTCTCCTTTTTGTCAGCGGTGTTTAATCTGCCTTTAAACTGGTTTAAACTTGACATTTGTGTTCTTCGCTGAACTCAAGTGCTTCTCACTGGATCTCGTGAGCAAAACGATCAAAGGCGCGTCTGCGTGAGCTCGCGCTCCGCTCAATGCACTGCCGTTTGGACTTTGAGCCGAGCGGATAAATGCTCCGTGTGGCGCGCGCGGTTTAAATGAGTTTCGTTCCGCTTTTTTGACGCATAAATATTATCGAACATTTATCGACCTCTTGATATCGTTTTATCGAGGAAAATTATATCGCGATAATTATCGTTATCGTTTTATCGCCCAGCCCTACCGATAACCAATAATTTTTAAATTTGGAAGCTGATAACTGATATATTGGCCCTTTTTTGAGAGACAGGGAGAGAGAGAGTGAGCCTGATTACAATAACAAGTCTCACCTGGTGCTGGGCGGTATACCGGTTCATACCGAAAACTGGTGTATATTTTTATTACGATGTTCATTTATAATATACCGCCATACTGATGTATTTAATTTACGCTGCGTGCTGACACTGTTT